ACCCTAAACCCTTAACCCTAAACCCTTAAACTAGGAAAAGCAACCCTAAGGAAGAATACTGGCAATCATTTAAGCTTCGACCCTGTAGCAGGCGTGCCTCCTTGACCCCTCTGAACGGGTCCGGAAAAGACGGAACAGTTGGGTACTACAGGGGGCCTTCATAATTACAATAGGGTTTTGGGGCCCATTATACTATATCTATAATAAGGAACCCACAAAACAGTATTGGTAATTATTTAAGCCTGTGTAGTAGCATTGTCATCATCATCATCATCGTAGAACTGTTGATATTCCCATCTTGTCTTGGAGGTACGGCTGATGAAACCCGGCATTGCCCATAAAAAGGAAAAACCCATATACTCCCACAGCATAGGGTGCTTAAGCTCACTGGCCCAAAACCCAAGGACATAAAAGTTGAAACTTTCAGAACCGACTACCTTGTAAGAACACAGAACACCGAAACAAGAAAAGTTGAGTTTACAGCGAATAAGTAAACTAATGCAGGATTTAGATCATCAGCCGTATGGATGTGAGCTTGTAAGGCCCTCCACTTGCCTCGTGCATGACCCTTAGATTATCGTCGGCAGCGTCGCTGCAACCGGCTTGCCGCAAAGCTTCCAATCGCCGATTAGAGCCTAGGTTTAAGGTTTAGACCTTTGTGTCTCCCCCTCTCTCTCTCTCTCTCTCTCTCTCTCTCTCTCTCTCTCTCTCTCTCTATATATTTATCTTTTGCATATACATATGTATATATATATATATATACATATATATATATATACATATATATATATATACATATATATATATATATACATATATATATATATACATAATGTATATGATTTTTAGGGATGCAGGCCAAAACTCTAAACCATGATCGGAGCATGGTGGCATGGTCCCCGGCAGCCTGAACTCTCAGTTTGAAAAACAATATGAAACGCAACCTTTCCCACAGGTCGTGGCAGAAGTGCCTCATGCTGTGACCGGCGACGCTCTAGAGACGCTTCGCCTCAGTACCAAAAGTGTACAAAAAGGCTTTGGAGTTCTGGCCCTTCGGGCTTAGGGGTTTGGCGTTCAGGGCTCTAGGTCTGCGCATAGAAGGATTCGGAGGCAGCATTTACGGAGTCTAGAGTGTATATGTGTGTGTGTGTGTGTGTCTCTCTATGCATTCTGTCAAATACATCTGTCGGATGTAGGACCCAAGAGCTACCCAGGAGCTAGGACCTGCAACTTCTTCCGGGCGCTGCCACTGCCAATACGGCTACTGCTGCCACTATTGATACTGATGTGACGGCGACTACTTACTACTACAACCACGACAACGACTACGACTAATCCTACGACAACGACTACCACTACAACCACTACAACAACCATTACTACCGCTACTAGCACTACAACCACTACTACCACGACAACAACAGCAACAACAACTACTACTACGACGACCACCACCACCACCATCATCATCACTACCACCACCGCGAAACACCACATCACTGCCCCTGCCACCGCAGCCGCCACCATCACCACCACGACGACTTCTACGTCTGTTTCCTGCAATGTAGTGTAAGATAATACAGCATACCCGAATATCATCATTCCAACATACTCCAAAATGTTCTTATGCCGCAATGTAATGCAAGGTCGCGCAACGTATCATAGCACAGCATGACACAACCAAAACCAGTAAGATATAGCATGATGTGATTTAGCTTGACATGTTATTTTGTGATGTATGTACAGAAAAAGGCTGTATTCCAAAATCCACAAGTGTGATGCAACACCATGTATACTATGAAACAGTGTAATGCAGTGAAACAAAATGATTAAACACTCAACGTGTATGACGTGTTCTAATGTCATGGTTTAGCATGTTAACATAGTGTTTCAGGTTGAGGAAAAGATATATCACAATGAACTGTAACATAGTATGATATAACATAACATGATACAACACCCACCATACAATGCAATATTCTACGATAGTAATGTAGTACCGTGCGGCGCTATGTTCTGTGCTGCTATACTACTTGTACCTCGGTTTCGGCTATGATCCACAGAGCAGCCAAGGAGCGCTCGGCAGTCGCTGCACGCAGGCGGTGCCCTTCACTTGGAGCCGGAGGTGCCTGCCAGGGTGGGATTGACAGCAGTTTGTGAGGCCCTGGATAGAGCTTTATTATAGGGTTCTCTACAAGTTTTAAAGGTTTCAATAGGATGTTGTGACGTTTTTCCACTGAGTCTTCGGGTGAGGCTTAATTATACGGGCTCGATACGTTTCTATAGGCGTTTAGAGGGTGCTTTTAATCGGGCTTGGGGATGAGGGTTTATAGTTCTTGTCGGCCGCTGTGGAAAGGCTTGAACTTTAGGTGTTTTGGGTCTCAAAGCGTTTAGGGTTTAGGGTTCAGGGAGGTTGCTGTTCTCTTTGGCTTGAGCTCTGTATACTTTTGCGGATATTCATACGGTTTTCGGAGCCCTAGATCCCTACTTAAAGGATCATGCGATTTAGTAACTAGGTTTTATAATTAGGGTAACTATACTTATAACCCCAATTAAGGTACTCATAACCTGACTTACTAAGTCCCATGATCCTTCAAGTAGGGTCAGGACTTAAGATTTGGGTTTAAAGCCCCTGAACCCTGAAGCCCTAACCTACTTCTCGGGTATCATGGGGAACTAAAGGTTAACCTTTTCTGGTTTTATGGGGATGATATAGGGACTATACTACCCACAAAAGGCTAAGGGTTACCCACTCTACTACTAGGCTAGACTCCAAAAACTCCAACAACTTTTCGGAAGCACTGGGCCCAGCTCGGGTTGTTGTGGCTGTGGTTTAGAGTTTTGGGTTCTAGGGTGTTGTCGGGATTTCGGGTTTTAGCGTTTAGGGATTCAGACCTGTACGGATAAGGGGATTTCGGGGTAAGGCTTTGGAGAGATTTCCCCCCAAGGGTCCAAGTACCTTATAATCATATACTCTCCCAAATCCTAACCTACATAACTACTATCCTAAAACCGAGTACCTGATTATTGGTTCCTTTGGACCCTTGGGGTAAGGGCTTGGGGTTACTACGGAGGGAGACTCTGAGGTTGCTTCTATAGGGTTTCGTAGTACATTAGAATATACGTCCGACCCCTATGCTAAGCCCTTAAAAAAAACCCTCCATAGACGTTTACAAAAACCCATGAAGCCCTGCAAAACCTTTTAAACCTTTACAAAACCCTCCAACATACTCGCAGAGGTGCCTCAAAGGCAGAGGCCTCCATCCTCAAGTTTGCAGCGGAGCGCCGCTCCTGACACTTGTCTTAGTTCTGAGTCGATCCCTGTCGCCAGAAGAAAAAAACCCTTTTGGGTCCCTTATTATGGTTTCTATCTGGGCAGTTGTCAAAATTAAGGTCACCTTTTTGGGTACCCTAACTATTCGGTGCCGTGTTACATTGAGGACCCGAATTTTCACAACCACCCATGTATGACTCATACAGGTCGGCTTTTGGGCCACGGGCAAGGCTTCGCAAAGGCTTTAGGGTTCGTCACCCTAAACCCTAAACCCTAAACCCCTAAACCCTAAACTCCAAAACCCAAAGCCCAAAGCCCGAACCTCTTAGAGAGCTTTAGCGCTTGGGATCTTGAGGAGCTTTCTCTTCAGGGCTTCTGGGCTTCGTGTCTAGGTTTTAGTCTTTTAGCTTGACGGCTTTAGGGCTTTCAGGGTTAGGGTTTAGGGGTTATAAGGGCGCTGAAATGTCTGTATCGGGAATCGGGATTCGGCAGTTTGCGATTTTATCTTGGGGGCTTTGGGGCGGCTTAGGGTTTTTGGCAAAGCTCGGGGTTCAGGCCCCTTCTTGCGTGTTCGTCTTAGGGTTTTACGTATAGTCTCATGTGAGTTTCGCAAGGTTGCAGACAAACTTGGATTGTACAACCGGCCGATGGCTAGACCGGTTGTAGTACAAGGGCTACTCCAATTTACGAGTTTAGTGCTTCAAGGGGCTTCGCTTCGGGAGTCTAGGGGCTTGGGGTTGTAGGGTTCGGACTTCCCAGACCTTCCAAAATACCTTAATTAAGGAATATGCCTTAAATTATAATAGGATCCCAAATATGAATTAAGGTATATTCCTTAATTAAGGGATTTTGGAAGGTCTGGGTTAATGGCGAGCCACGGAAGTCAGTGATTTGTTGCAACTCGCTGCTGCTAACGGACTCTCTTGCGCAAGGGCCACATCTCCCATGCGTCCCGTTGCGGAACTGAGGGGGAGGGAACTGGCCAAGAAGGTGGATTGGACAAGCCAATGGAAGAACTCAAGCCAATTAATGGCGACAGTACCAAGTAATATTTGATGAAGATAGATGAGAGTATGTGACAGTATGTGTGATGTGTTTGGTAGCTGCAGCCAATCCTGATCTTCTTCAGCCCAGCCCCATTCTCCCCAAGCACCCCCTTTTGCGCTGTGCTGGCGCAAGCCGCTCAAGCAGCAGCGCTGGGTGGCAACTGACGACTCGACTCAGGTTCCTGTTCTGCACTAACGTCTCGAGCAGTTACCTGCTGAGCTTTTGAGGTGTTAGCTTGCACAAGAGTACGTTGGTACCTGTCTGATGATGGTGTAGCCTTTCGGCACCACTTCCGCTTCGTTCAATCTGGGTCGTATAATCTATAAAGCAGTCTTCTGTGTGCCGTGGTTAAGGCTGACAAGCCACGCATAGTGATACGAGCAAAACAGCTCTGTTCCGGATCAGGATTTCAAAGCTAGATTGGGCATAGCTTCATTTCAGCTATCAAATCAAACCTACGCCGAAGGAAACACAAGCACAGCAGCACAACCCAGTTCTGCTCATGTGTAGGTTTTGCTGCTTGGGATTATGCGTGGCTTTACAAGCCTTTCGTTCGAGCCGTCTGGTGGCACCATCCGACCCGGAAACAATAAAGAACAGCCCAGCGTTTACTTAGAGCAGGTTTAAGGTGCCTAGACGTGGACCTGAGCAGGGGTAAGACTTTGCGGAGTCAGTTCCGCTACACGATCAAGACTGAAGCAGTGCCACCCACGTGGCTCTGCACGACACTTGGGACGACGTGCCTTGGCTGCTGCACAATCGCCCCTCTATTTGGGAATTTCCGAAAATAGGGGTACCTGATTTAGGGGTCCTTATGATAAGGATCCTACTATTTAGGGTACTATATTAGGGTCACCTATTATCGGAAACCCCCATTTAGGCTTGCCAGACTACCTGAACTCGAATGACCCATTGCGCAGACAAGTGCGGACAAGTACTGCAGCAGCCGGGGTGAATGAACACAGGAGAGCGAACGTTATCTGAGCAACAGGAGCATCGTGAAAATGTGCAATGCATGCTGTCGGCGTTCTGTCAGCAAACCCGCATTTACATAGTAAACCGAGCCCCTGATGATCACCATCTGCCCTCTAAGGCTCTAAGGATGGCGCTAGTGACGATCTTGCTCGTGCTACTTGCAGCCCTAGAGCACCAAACACAGTTCGACCACAAAGGCGCTCAGATGTGAAACATTGCTCCGGAAGCACTATGAAAGCTGAAAGCCCTGATCCCGACAGTCCCAAAACCCGACTGAAACCCCCTAAACCCCTAAACCTTGAACCCTGAGCCTTAAGCCCTAAACCGAAAGCCCTAAGCCCTAAACTCTAAACCCTAAACCTTAAACTCTGTAGAAACTCTAAGAGGCTCCTTGGCCTACAATCCCAAGCATCGAAATTTTTGAACCCACCCTATAAGCCCTGAACCCTACAAGGGATCAGCCCTAAAGCCCTAGAGGAAACTCCAGGAAGTGGGTTTAGGGTTTAGGGGTTTAGGGGTTTAGGGGTTTAGGGTTTAGGGTGAATATGGATTAATGGTAGGATCCCCTATAGTTTACTTTAAAGGGGTTACGATAATGATATTCCAACTTTCTGGCTTCTACTGTAAGAAGTCCCGAGGTGCATGTAGCCACAGAATTGCGACCACGGAGAGAAATCCGACTTCGAGGGGTCGCGAATCCTGGGCATCGCGATTCAAATATAACCTTAACAACAACTGTTGATCATATAAATCCTGCAATACCCATAGTAAGGAATATGTGGGAATTATGGTATATTCCTTATTTTGGGTAATGCAGGATTTATCTCATCAACCGTAGAACAAGCTTTTGGGGTATGTTGCACTACACTTATAAGGGACCCTCAAAATGGTATAGGTTATGCTTCTAGGCCCCTATATGAACACTGTTATTAATTGTGGTTTACCTTAACCCCAAAGAATCTTTCTCCAGCCTTATACAAGGAAATCAAAATATTTATAGCCCTAAAAAGGTAGGATTCAGGGTTGCATCTGGGTGCATAGGGAGGGTGAGGGTTCCGTGGGTATCTACGGCATTTCGGCTGATGTACTGGTCATTACGTCACAACTAATATATGACTTCTGCAGTCGTCTGTCTTATAGGCTCTTCCGAATATTATACTTGCTGCCTTCTGTCGAGAAGTATCGTCACGATTGTTGACACTGTTCTGGCACCACTTTCTTGCTGCTGCTGCCTTTAGAATATGATCAACCCGAAACCCGAACTCCCAAACCATCAGCCCCGCCAAGGCCTCACGGCAAAGCGAAATGCCTCGACTTAAAGCCAGCAGCGCCCAAAGCGTTCAGATCCCTTTCTGCATCAAAGGCTGCAAGCCCACAACTCATCCTAAACCAATTTAACGGCCTTTATAGCTATCTTAAAGGATCATGGGACTTAGTTACGGTTAGAATTAGGGTAACTATACTTATAAGCCCGATTAAGGTACTTAACCTTACTTACTAAGTCCCATGATCTCCGTGTAGTCAGGGATGGGAAGAACAGCGCCGCTACACAACAAACGAACAAGGCACGCCGCTTGCCGGCTCACACACTACCCATAGGCTCCAAAGTAGTTCCTTTTGGGGATTACCCTATAGGATTCTATATATGAACCCCAAAAAGCAACTACTTTGGGGCCTTAGGGTATATTCTTCACTCAATCAAGCTCAAACCCGAAGTTTTTTCCCGCACCATAACCCCGAAACCTCAAAAACCCGAAACCCCGAAGCCTCCAAAACCCCAAACCCTAAACCCTACCTCAAAGCCTCTCTGGCTCAGCTCACAGTCACAAGCTAGAGTCCCTACCACCCTTTACCCTGGTGCGTCAGTGCTGAAGGCGTGGTGCTTGGGGTGTAGCGTTCTAGGGTTTTTAGGGTTTAAGATGAAGGGCTTACAGTGTAGAGTTTAGGGCTGCGGTCTTTAGGATTTCTGTTTTGGGGCCTAGGCTTTTAGCGCTTATAGTTTATCTTCCCTGAAGCTTGACAGCAAAGCATCTGTTGTCCGTTGTTGTCGGTGTTTCGCACAGGTGTGCCGCCGGGCTTGTGGCTCCTCTGCACGGCAGAGTGTGAAGTTGGGTCTTAAATACTAGACTAGGGCTTTAAACTTTGGGGGCACCTTACTATAATTCATAAGATACTTATAAAAAGGGAACCCTAAGGAATTCTTGTTGGGAATTAGTCCGGGCCTGTATTATATTGTGTTCTAAAATGTTATGTTATACTATTGCTTACTCTTTTTTACAAATATTTTGTATCGTACTATGCTATATGCTACAATATTGTATTATATGTTACGCTATTCTGTTTTGTTTTATGACGTTTCACTCTAATTATACTCTATTCTGTTCTATTACATGATATGAAGTGGGGCTTCTACTACAGGTATCGCACAGGGACACCCCCAAATATGCACTCAGCAATTTTTCTCACAAGTCACTAGCACCATTCATCAAAGCCCTCATGTGAAAACTACCTTCTCCGAACCTGTAAAAGCACTAACTTTCTGCATAACACTATTTCAGCACCAACCTCCCTCCAGCAAAACCTCGCGACCATACATGCCAGGCATCATGCTTCTACAATGCCGAGGTTCGGTTTCAGGGGTTTGGGTTTAGGAGTTTCGGATTAGGGGTACCCTTGCTGGGTCCAGAAGCCAGTCTTGTCCATGCGGACCCAGTGGAAATTCGTGTCCGGCCAGATGAACCTTTCTCGAGGTTTCTATGGGTTTTGCTAGGCTTTATCTGTTTAAGACGGGGATGCATGAGTGCTGCAGGGCTCGTTAGAGTTTCGCGGGTAGTACCTTGCACCCTTAATGCTAAACTCTCCCACCAGCACATATTCTCTAGCTACATGCTAAGACCCTAAGCCTTTGTAACACCCTAAACCCTAAACGCCCAAACCCCGAAACCTCAAAATTAAGCTTCTCTGTTCGCGGCCGAGGAGCAGGGCCACGAAGTGCCCGGTCTCTGGCGGTCCCTTGGGCAGCTCCGTCCCCTGCCACTGCCTGGGGGGTTCAGGGTTTAGGGTTGATGTTTAGGGTTGAGGGTTGATGACACAGGGTCTTGTGTTTCGGGTTTAGAGCTACGGTACATGACTTACATGGTATGTATTTAGTAGAAGTAAGGAAACATACTTCACTCGCACAGACCCCGTGCCAGTCGTTCCTGAAATGGTGAATTGCCTACTTCAAACTCTAAGAAAAGCCTACCGAACCTTTATCAAACTGTAAACGCCTCGCACCCTAAACCCTGATCCCAAAGACCCCCAACCCCAAAACCCGTAAACCAAAACCCTAAAACCTAAAGAGACCCTGCTCTTGTCCAAAACCCCAAAGCGCTTCTTCTATACTGAACTTAGAACCCTAACAACAAGTATAATTTTAGCTGTTTCTTGAGATAATAATAACCAAAAATTAAAACTTGTTTCTAAGTACCCCTAAGTCTTAAGGAGAGCCCAGATGCAGGCCGTCGCTCTCCGCAGCGGCCCGGATGGCATCGCAGGTGTTGGCTTTCCTTGGCTTTTGCCGGCTTTCTCCGTTGAGTGTTTTAGTGTTTTGGGGTTAGGGCTTTGGGGTTTAGGGTTTTGGGGTTTTAGGGTTTAGGGTTGCAGGGTTTGGGACCATCAATCCCGGGGCCTCTGAATGTAGCAATTTCAGACTCTGGTTTGGGGGGTTTCTATATGGGAGTCTCCGAAAATTAGGGTTACCTTATTTGGGGTAATAAGGATCCTACTGTTTCGGGTGCTATATTAGGGTCCCCTATTTTCGGAAACTCCCAGATATGTACATGACCCGGCACTTAAGCGGGAACCCGAGTGTTGCATAGTAGTGCTAATTCTGCAAGCTCCCATAAACCGTAAACCCCCTAAACTCCCTTAACCCTAAACCCCTAAACACTAAACCTCAAAACCCCTAACCGGCTGCATTTACGGTCAGGGGCTCTGTGGGTTGAGGCTTTGTTTTTGCTGGATTTCGGGCCTTGGGGGTTGAGGGTTAGGGTTTGGGGTTTGCGGTTTCCATGGTCTGGGGTTAGGAATCGAAGGAAAGGGAGGGGGCAGCCAACAGTTACCATCATGACGACGGTAGCTGCTGTACATTAGTTGCTGGCACTGTTTCATCTCATTGGATCCACTGCGGCGGGTCAAACTTCCCAAGTGAAAACAACACAAACTTTCGGAATGCTCGAAGTCCAGTGTTTAAGATCTACGGCTTGGGCTTCAAGGTGTCGGCAATCAGTTACTCAACTTCTGAGAAGGCAAAGTTTGCAAAACAAATTCAGAACTCAGGAACGATGGCTTCACATTCTGTTGTGGGAGTTTCCGAAAATTAGGGCATCCTAATTAGTAGGATCCATATTATAAGGACCCCAAAATCAGGCACCTCTAATTTTCGGAAACTCCCTTGTCTGGAGTGGACCCGGCTTGCAACAAGCTGCCGAAGTTTCGCTTTGCAGCTTTGGGTTTCAGGGTTTGGGCCTAGGAGTTGGGAGCTTAGGGGTATTGGCTATTGAGTAATTATCTGGGTTCAGAGTTTTGGGGTGTGGGATTTAGGGGTTTAAGGTTCAGTATCTGCGCAGCTTCTTCAGATGGGATTCCACTTGTGCCCAGATCCTCGGCCGGGCTGGGCGAAGGTATCCGTGGAGATGTCTGTGCCGTAGTTGTAGCAGTTGTTCCTTAGCTCCACTTTCTGGTCCTCCGGGATTCAAGAAGCTCCTGCTGCCATTATGGGCCTCCTCCTCCTCCTCCTCCTCCTCCTCCCACTCCTCCTCCTCCTCCTCCTCCTCCTGCTCCTGCTTCTCCTGCTCCTCCTCCTAAGACTACTGTACTTCCACTACTACTGCCGCCACCACCACCGCCACTACCACCGTTACCACGGCAGATACCGGCTGCCGCAACTGTGGTTACTGCTGTGATACTGCCGCTGGGAACTCCACTCTGCCTCCTGCTGCTCCTCCTCCTCCTCCTCCTCCTCCTCCTCCTCCTCCTCCTCCTCCTCCTCATCCCCCCTATTCGGGCAGTGCTGCCACCATCTGCTTCTGCTAGCACTGCGTCACTACATGCTACGGGAGCGACGCCGGCTAAATCTAATGAAGGAGGACAACTTCATGAACGAGGACGCGGAGGGCCACTGAGACTTTGATATACAAGATGGTAACGTTTGTCAATTGAAGAATTGTTAACAAAAGGAAAAAAGCACAGCTCCTTCTGAAAAGTAGTTCAGGCACTGTGATTGGTGACTGACGAAGCAGCCGCGGTCGTCCACGCTGGGGTTGTACGTTGGGACGGTGTCTGGGCCCACCTGGGGGGTTTTCGAAAATAGGGGCGCCCTCATCTAGCCCTCTAAATGGAAAGATCCTCATTATAAGGACCCCAAAATAAGGTACCCGTTGTTTTCGGAAACTCCCACCTGGTGCGAGCAGTTTGCAGCAGTCTCCACGGCGCTCCCGTCCAGGTCTGGCAGGTCTAACTCGCCAGTGTGGTCTCGAGCTATCCTGGGCGTTTAACCAGGGAGAAAAAAGGTATAAACTAATGGCTCCTTTAGAAAGTATTTACGGCACTCCAAAGCCCGGTAACTCGTCCCGGATGTAGTTGGCGACTGTCTCCGAAATGCTCGGTCGCAGAATCGACAACAGTAGAACTTCAGCTGCTTGGCAGCCACGCACGACGAAGGCGCTGCCAGCACCCTCAACCCAAAAGCCCCGATAGCCCACAGTCACATTGGTGCGTCCAAGCGCTGATCCGCCACTGTTGCAGCCTGTCAACATACATATACATACATACATACATACATACATACATACATATATATATATATATATATGTACACACATGCATGCATGCATGTGTGAATTCATGTGTGAATACATGCATGCATGTAAGTTTGCACGCATGTGCATATGTACTTATGTATGTATGTATGTATGTATGTATGTATGTGTGTTGTTATACCTATATATATATATATAAATATATATGTATATAATATATATATATATATGAAGAGAGTCGACTGAGGTCGATTGGCACCGGCGATGTGCAACGCGGTTCTCAGTACTAGTAGAGACGCAAATGACGTGCAAAGTCCACACAACCACGCCCCAAGTACGCTCGCCACATCCAAGCGTTGAGCCTTATAATCTCATACGATGCACGCACCCAAGTGCTCACAAGCGGACTACAAAATCTAGGCCTATATGTCCTTCAACATGCAGGTCCCACACAAGCTTCAAGTTCTTCTGTAGAAGCCTCATACAGACAAGCAGGTAAGTAGCTGGACCTTCCGTGGAAAGCTGCGTAAAAGAGTAGAACGAAATAGTTCCTCTCTATGAGTTCCAAAAAGGGTTTCCAGGTTTTCGCAAAACACAGCAACGGGACTTTCAAAGATGTGGTGTTGAACTAAGCCAACCCAAAATATAGGAACCCTAGCACTGTGACCCCCCGGCTGCACAGCATCGCTTCCAATCGAAAAGGAGCCTCGAAGGTGGTGTTGTAGATTCGTCAATGCGGCCTGCACAGCTGGCATACGGGCCTTCATGATTGAAGGGCGTGGTAGCATGTCGTAGTATGGCTATCTCGGTGCTAGGGCGGGGTTTCGAAACTAAACCTTCAAACCTACAAGTGCTCAAAGAGAATCAGAAGGAGCGGATGTGAAGGAATTCGGTCGATGGCTGCAAGGATTCCAGGGACGGGCTTTAGGGCGATTCAGGGTTTCAGACTTTGAGGGTTTGAGGCTGGTGCCTTAACCATTAGAATATTCGGGATTTTTGCCGCATACCCATCATGAAGCAACCTTATGAATAGTGTTACATAGTATGCATGCTTTTTTGCATTGGATGTTTGTGTTCTGGGGTTACGGTTCGTGGGGATCTCGCTTATGACGTTGGCTCCAGTAGGGTGGATTGGCCAAGTATTCACGCCAGGTTCGGGTTTGAGGCTTAGTGACTTAGTGGCTTACCTACTTGTCGGATATCATGGGGAACTAAAGGTGAACCTTTTTGGTTATATAGGGGCTATATAGGGACCATACTACCCCAAGAAAAGGTTAAAGGTTGCCTACTCTGCTACTATAGGAAACCCTAAACCCTTTATAGAACTCCTATAGATCCCTTTAAGCATCCCTCAAAAGAGCCCTACGCAAAGCTACCCCCCTAAGTATGTAGTGTTTAGGAGCTTAGGACTGGGAGCTTCGGGTTTCCTTTTGGGAAACCTTATCTTCTTAGCTACTATTTGCTTAAGAAACCCCCCAAAAAATAATAATCATCTCTATATTACCCCCATAAGGAATATGTTTTTTTTGTTTTTTTTTGGGGGGGGGGGTCTTAAGCAAATAGTAGTTAGTTGTCGGGTATCATGGGTAACTAAGGACAACTAGGTGGGGGGCTTTTTAAGCCTTTGATAAATCTTAGTAACTAAGATCCTCTTAAGCCCAATAAGGGAAAATATAAAATGTCCCAAAGCCCTACCTAGACAAATTTGGTTATATAAGGATTATATAGGGGCTATTCTACCCAAGAAGAGGTTAAAGGGGAAAGCAATTGCTTATATAGACCCAAGCCCCGCTCGTACAATCCTGAATCCTCTGCAACCCCAAATTGAAAATCCGCTCCCTCCACCCATACAAACCGCTGATGGTTAAGGGGTTAGTGCTTAGGGTTTGGGGCGAACTAATTAGATCCAATCCATCCCTCAGATCTCACACCCTCAAACAACTCCAAACCCTGCTCCCAAAACCCCTGGACTCTCAGGACTGTGCAGTTGAACCCCAGAACCCAGCAACTCAAAGCCCTCATCCAGCATCAAAGCCAGAAATCCCAAAAGCCTGAAAACCTCTAACCCTCCTCTACAGGCGCGCTGGATGTCCCCCCCCAGCTGTGCAACAGCTGGAGATTGTTTGAAACGTATACAAATATGTGGCCCTGGTTATGACCCTTAATATAAACTGCGATAGGGTGGGGGCAGTACCCAATTTAAATCTGTGGTACAGTATTGAGATCCAAGATCTAAGTTTGGTTGAGCTTCGGCTTCGGGTTAAGGGATTTAGGGGTTGAGGGATTTAGGGTTTTCGGGCTTAGTTTAGGGGTTCAGGCTCTTCGGCCTTAGGGTTTTAGGGCTTTGGGGAGCTTTGGGGTTTCGCATCTATGGGCTCGGGGTTGGGAGTTTTGGGGTTTAGGGTTTAGGGTTTAGGGGTTTAGGGGTTTAGGGTTTAGGGTTTAGGGGTTTAGGGTTTAGGGGTTTGGGGGGTTTACGGTTTAGGCGGTAAGGTTAAGGGCTTGGGCTTTGGGACTTGGGTTGGAAGGCTTCCTTCGTTCAGATCCGGTTGCCCTTGTAAGGGAAACCGACAGGCCTAACTTGTAGTTTGGGGTTCCTTATGCTCTCTGAGTATTGTGGAACCCTCGGGAATACTTGGAGGATCATGGGACTTATCAAGTAAGGTTATAAGTACCTTAATTGGTGTTATAAGTATAGTTGCCCTAATAATATCCTAGTTACTAAGTCCCGTGATCCTTTACGTAGTATGATTTGCATTTTCAGGCTAACCTCTCGCAGCATAACCAGAGCCTCATCGATGACCAGCTGCGGATTCGGTGTTCCGGAGAAGACCTTGCTTGTACTGCTTGAAGGTTCGTGGGTCTTAGGGGTTAGGATTTATTATTTGAAGCCTCAAACTCCTACACAAACCACTGGCATGCACGCAATACATCAGGTTCCTGGTGAATCCCTCTAGGCCCTACATTGTCATCCACCAAAACCTAGTCTTTGTAGGACCGCTATAAGCGCTATACTACGGTTTGTAATAATAACCTACAACACAGAAGGTTGTCGTACGGTAGGGTAGGTTTTTAATCAGTTGAGGACGGGGAATCCCAGCACTTATCAGCCTGAAGCCATGTTAAAATTCCCCGGGAGTTGGCTGTGAGGGCTCTGAAGCCCTGTGCATGCTCAATCCACCTGCTTCCCTTGCACACCCTAAACCTAAACCCCTACACCGGAGATCTTACGGCCGAAAGCACTATGTGGTTCCAGTATGAGGAGGGGTTGCTATAGGGAGTCTTGGGTCTAGGGTGCCGGGAAAGAATAGAAAGCTCTCTTCACCGGACTTGAACTGCCCAGCCACTATCGGCGAGATGGTCGCCGCCCTTGCAGCCACAAGCAGCCCGAACACAGTGCTAGCCGTCAGCAACATGATTGGCAAAGCTGCTACGGACTGCTACCTGAGCCTTCGGCTGCGGCTTAGAATTGAAGGCTTTCAAGCTTCTGGTTGGGGGATTCCTCTATTAGTATGTCGCAGTGTGGCAAATCATCTTGGGCCAGCTTGCAACCTCGAGTCTGGGACTTAACCTCATTATTGTTCGTGCTGCTGCCCAGGGTTTACGACCAGTTAGCCGTTGACAACGACACCCAACACTAAACCTGTTGTTAAATCAATCAGGAGCCATCAGAGGACTAACAGTCATAGTATGTGACATAACCTCTCTGACTCCTGCGATACTCATCATGCAAAGAACCTGATAAGCTTGTGAAAGCCTATGGACATCCTACAACTCCCTAATAGTGAGACGTTAACAATGCATCCAGGGTTCGGAGTAACATAAGTATATAACAACCACAAATCTGAATACGCACATCTACGTGTAAGCAGCAAATATTCAAACCTCTTTATTCTGTGGTTACCCTCAGCTGAAACATTCGGGGAGGATGCAGAACATGAAGGCCAGGACGAGACGTATACTACCTCTTATAGTAACCCTTGTAGCACCCCTAAAGACCGGAAGTGTTTAGGGTGCAGGCCCAATTACCCCCGATCGTCGCCTAAACGAGGTTTCCCGGCAAAACCCTAAACCCGAACCCCAAGCCCCTAAACCCTAAACCCCTAAACCCCTGAACCCCTAAACCCTGTCTGTTTGTTTCAGTGCTAGAAGTTCCTGCGACCCCCCCCAAAAAAACAGGAGGGCGTGAGGATACTTCTGGGCCCACCATGAACGAGCAAGGCCATGCTCAGAAGGATAACGCAGGGGTCTTGAGATTCGGAACAGGATTTGGATGTGTGTTTTTACGGTCTGGTTTCATCAAGGAGCCTTAAGGAAAACAATTCGGAACTATTCCGGCCCCTACAAAGCCTGCGAGGCACTGGTGCGGTTGAAGGGTTTGCGGCGGGCTTTTGGAGCTTCCCTGGCACAGCGCCTCGTCCACAATCTGCTGCAGCCTGCTGATGTTGGAGCCAGCCTCCTTGGCGCAAAGCATTGCCCGATTCAGAGTTAAGAGGCATAAAGGCATAAAGACGTATAAAATTACTATGAATACTATTAGTGGTATTAGCGTTTTTATAATTAAACTGTGGTTGTTACAACTAATACGCTATAAAAACTATTTTTACTACTCTAGGGAGGCCGCATGGATGATGCCTCTAGCTCCTTAGGCCGCTGGTTACATGCCTTGCGCATCCCTCTCGGCACTTCCTCTAGCAGTCTGCCAACGAATCGTGCGGCCTTTCCCATCTTTCACGGAAGGCAAATGAGCGCTTTAGGATGCGCCCTCTATCACCGCCCGGATCAACATCGGTTTCGGTGTGATCGACGCTCGTCTTTCGTCCTTGATCCGACAGAGTTGGACTCAAAATGCGACCAGCAGTCGTTCACAAAGTCGTCTGATACCTGCTGTCAGCAACCGAACACCGAACCGGGGAATTCAGTTACGTAGCCAGGGAGAAAGAACTATAAACTTGTATTTTCATAATGGCTCCTCTAAGAAAAAGTATGAAAGTGTGGTACTCCAAATCCCAGAGTACTGTTTTAAGAAACCCTGGGTCTTTATTAGGGTTCCTTATATGAATCCTACTATTTTGGGTTTAGCCCAGGGTTTCTTAATCAGTCCTACATCATTAGTCCAAGCCCTAGACACTAAACCCTATTAAGACACTACCGTTCAAGGGTTTAGGGTGAGCGCTTAGAACGGGGAATCGAATTTAAGAAGGCCGGACTGCGATTTCTGCTGCTTCGAATGTCCTTGTTCTCGGCTTGTGCTCTAGTTCATGGTTGGGGGGGGTTTAGGGTTTAGGGGTTTAGGGGTTTAGGGTTTAGGGGTTTAGGGGTTTAGGGTTTAGGGGTTCAGGGTTTAGGCAGTATCAAAATTTCTTTATTTCCATTCCTTGTTGGATCTAAGTACCCATTATACAAACACAGGGACTTTTCGTGCGCAAACATCCAAGCTTCTGCCAGCGACTCGGCCAAAACGCACCGCTTCTGCTCTGCCTGGGTCACCCACACTTGAACTACAAGCGTTCAGGGGTTTTGAACCCAGGGTTTACGGGTCGGGGCTCAGACTTGTTCACAGGGCATGACTGAATCTGATTGGATGGCCTTCCCCTCAAATGTCATCGCCTGCCATCAGCGGGACTGCACCTACACGCCAACCAGTAGCAGTGCGATGCTGCCAATATCAGCAACAGTAAGAAACTTACAGCATGCAGGCATTCGAGCAATCCGTGGCTTCCATGCGTTGGCTCCGATCTTAAATGGGTGCTGGGATTGTTGGGTTACAAAGGTTATCTTGTTGTGGCAAGCGGCCATGCAATTGTGATTACTATGATGGAATTATAGCCTTCGCGGGTCCTACTAACCAGGGGTCCGCGCTTTCCGAGAAATCCCCAAACTCTTAAACTTGAACGTACAAGAATACTGAGATCCCAGTCAGCCAGCCCAAAAACACTTTGGGCAGCTGCCGTTCTTCCCGAGAGAACTTGACAGCAAGATCGCAGTGGTTCTAAACCAGACTTTTTTTGCATGCAAGTCTGCGCTTAGGTAGAACTGACAACTCTGAAGCGACAGCCTTCTCACACCTTCGAGCTAGCTGTATCTAGCTGTGCTTGTACAGCTAAGCATCCTTGTTCTACTTCTTGCTACTTGCATCCGTGTTGCAGCAGCATGGCGTGCCTCCGCTTGTTCCTGCATGCAACGCCAGGATGAATCAGGGCATCTCAGGGTGTGAGGATGCTGTAACTGGACGATTGATACCCCCAAGCCCCTAAGCTCCGCGAGTAGATCCGTGCGGAAGGTCCTAACCACGTCACTTCTTTCTCGACATTTGTCCGGAAGCGGGGTGAAGGACAAAAAATGCTACGAGGGGCTTCCAGCACAGAGGATCTACATGGGCGTCTAGAACGGTTTACGCCGCAACCGTAAATACAAAACCCAGGCCCGAAACGAGAGATCCTCCAGAAACCCTGGCCCCGGCACCACCAACCTGAACCCTAAACCCTAAACCCTAAACCGTTTAGGGTTTAGGGTTCAAGGTTAAACTGTTAAACCCGAAGTTCTGACTCCCCCGGACAGTCTACTTACAAACGCCCAAATCACTTCCCCAATGAATCTTGGGGTAAAGCGTGACACAGAATAAATCCTGGCTTACCCTGGTTACGCTGGTTACAGAAGGTCAACAAGCATAAATAAAGCCCTTGCAGCTCCTCGTTGCGGTTTATTTGTGTGAACAATATCTGTCCGATCCCTGCATAACCTTAGAGGGCGTGGTCGCAAGGTCCTTGAGCTGCTGCAAGCTGTTCAAGCACGACTCCTTCCCATATACCTTCTCCCATGATGTTATGATCGCGGAAGGATCTTTCGTTGCGGCCGCCGAGGTAAGGGCGTTCGACACCAGGTAAGCCCAGCCGTCACCAGCGCGTCCAGGAGTTCTGAGTGCTGAAGTTTTTGTTCGAGCTTTCCTTCTCCAGAAGGCCTGTAATCGCCGTGGATTCATTGCCAGCTGATAGGCACTGCACGTCAAACTCTTATGTTTCCGGATGATTTGGTTCTTCTTGTTCCAAGAGGCCACCCAATAGTGGCTTTGCCGGAGGGTCACAAAGCAGCCAGCGGCTTGCAGCGGAAGCTGTGTACAACGCTCGGGAATATAGGGGCCTTAATTGGAATAGGGTTTTGGGGCCAATTATACCGCAATTATAATAAGGAACCCCCCAAAACAATTCTGGTTATTTAGGCCCCTATCTTATGGACTTGCTTTTGACATGTCTCTGGCCGCAGAACAAAGCACGGCATGTGAGAGCCCGTCTGGTGTGGCCATCTTTTAGAATCTTCAATGCTACGAAATTCTAAGCCTCAACAAAAATACGTGGGCCATAACAATTAGAATAGGGTTTTGGGGCCAATTATACTATAATTATCCCCAAGATAGCATAGATCATAGGTAATTATTAAGGCCCCTACCCTACTCTACAGCACCATCAACCCTAAACCCCCAAGCCCCCATCTTCAGACGTCCTGAAGCGCACGGACCTCCGCAAGTTCCTTGGAAAAGAAATTTCGTCAGGCCCAGCTACTGCTTGGCTGGCTTACAGGAGTTTTGGGAAGTCCATTATTTTAAGGTGTCGCAGTTCAAAGGAGTTTTGGGAAGGCTATTATTTTAAGGTGTCGCAGTTCATGTAAATGTTATTGTTTAAGTGTGATGGCGCTCTTTGTGGTGCCTGCATGCTTATATACCCCTACGACCACTTTAGGGTGCGAGGATGTTAATCGACTTGTCGGAGTTTTGTAAGAATTTGCCATGGCTTCACAAGAGTTTGTTCAGGCTGCATACTCACACTCCAACTGACTTGTCGGGCGGTGTAGCCGTTTCATCGGGGAAGGCAAAAGTTAAATGGGGGATACCTGGTTCAGGGTTTGCAGGATTTGAAAACCCTGATTTTTCCTAATCCCTTGAGTTTAGGAGGCTTGCACGCTTTTGGTTTTGCGACGGGAGATGGTTTAAGGCTTGATGACTTGAGTGTTTCGAGCATGCGTAAGAAGTCACGGGATCTTGGAAGGCTTCGGGGTGTAGCCGTGTAGCCGTTGAGGTTGTTGGTCGCTGATGTTTCGGAGACTGCGCAGATGTACTTGATGAAAACGATGTGGGCTATCCCTGCGACGACTCTCGGCTTTGCTGGTTCGTTGCTCCTCCTGTTGTTACCGCAAGTAAACATGGCCAGTGTGGTTTGAGATCGGTTGAGGGCTTACATGGTCTTTTTCGCGCGCTGAAGATTGAGGTGAGGATTCTGAAGTTGAGGCCTAGTTCCTCTGGTTGAAACGCTAGGGTCGTGGCATGGACGATACATGGACATCTCGGTTAGATGGCCGAGTCCTCGACCCCGAAATCTGAAGAGCATCCCTGCAACGCGGTGACGGCATGTAAACTAGAGTTCAATCCAGTCGCCTACCTAGCTTTGACCTTAGGAGGTTCCAGTGCTTTCACTTTCAGAGGGCACAGCCCTAGTCCCCCAGATGCGGTTGCAGGTTGTACATGCATAAAAACATGCATAACACCTGTACATAAGATCTGACGAGTGCACATACACACACACACACACGTATATATATATATATATATATATATATATATGTATGCACATAATGTATCCATATGTCTGCATGTGTAACATCATGTACTACCTCCTTCAGGCCTCTACTATAACAAATGTTAGACCTTCTAAAACTGGTCTGCAGCCATCGCGCTGCCGTCAGCTCGCCCACGGACTGCTTCGGTGCCGGCCTCGGATTCATGTGTCACCCGAAGACCCTAAACCCCAAACCAAAAACTGAAACTCCAGGCCCTGAACCCTCATTCCCTGAACCTTTGGCCCCGAAAAATTACAACGTTAACGAGCTCTTGCAGGATTTCGTGTCAGGCTTTGGCTTGCGTTCAGAGGGCCTCCAATGATGCGAGCAAGAAGGATGGATGGTTTAGGGTCTGAGCTTCTACTATAATTATGATATGGAGCCGCATGCTTGGGGTAGACATTATACCACATGTGTGTGTGTGTGTATATATATATATGCATACATATGTGTGTGTACGATATACTATCTCTATACATATAGGCACATCTGTATGCGCATATATATATATATATACACACATATTAAATGTATACTATATTCTAAATGAATATATATATATATATATATATACATATATATATATATATACACACACATACTATGTGTAATAAGAAATTTAAAGAGTTAGTCACAGACTCTTGGGTTGCTGCGATGTACCCAGCGGCACATCACGATAAGCCGTAATACAAAGGCCTGAATATTTACCCGTGCTATTTTGGGGCTCCTTGATATTGTACTGTTTCCTTAAGAATTATAACTATAGCACAATATCTTGTACCATTTTGTGGTTACGTGTCAAAAATGTATATGAAATACACCAAACCCCGTTCTAATTATTAAGATACCTATATCACAAGTCATGTTCCCTCCGTGGACCAAAAAGCCTGTAAAGGAAGGGTTTAGGGTTTAGGGTTATAGGCCCTAATTGGTCCAAATAACCTACCGTTTTAAGGACTCATCTTAGATGTAAGGAAATCATAAGGATCCCTAAAACAGTAGGTTCTATAGGGTTCAGGTCAGACTGATACCCTAAACCGCTAAACCCTAAGACCTTGATCGTTTTGCCTGCCAAATCCTTAGCCTTACCCTGGTGCCTGGGCCTTTAGGACGTGGGGGTTTAAGTAATTGCTGAGGGATTAAGATAAGGCTCGGTGCATACACGAGCTGGAAGCAACCCCCGACAATGGGGACTCAGTTCATTCATGCTCAGTTTACTGTGCTCTTTAGGCAATATTCTGCTTCTGTTAGGCCCTGAACCCTAAACCCTGAACAGTAAAAGAAAAACAAAGTGGCTGAGAAGTGGAGAAACGCTTCTCCATCTCCGCGAGTCGATCCTGAAAGAAGCCTGAGACAAAAATCAGAGAGCATCAACAGCCCAAAAGCCTGTGCAAAACTAAATCCTAAAAGAGCTCAACCCTAAATCCTGAGCCCAACCCTGTAGTCAAGTCTCCTTACAGACGAGCTTATAATGGTTCTACAACGGTGTTCATGAAGATGCCACAAAAGGTGTTGCAAAGGGTTTCCTGTCGGGGGTTTTAGGGTTTCAAAGTTTAGTCGGTTAAGGGTTTACAGAATTCGACTTGTGCAAGATATTGAAGGTTTCAGGGGCCTTTCCAGTTTACGGGTTTGGGGTTTAAGGATTCTCCACTTTAAGTGCTCTTTGTTGTTTTTGAATCCGGTTCAGATTTTCGGTGTTTAGGGTGTAGGGCGTAACATCTCGCAGCCATTTCGTGCTCCTGCAAGGATCTTTGAACCCTCCGACCATTGAATCTAAACAGCAAGGCACTGCCACCCGCAACCCCTCAAACCCAAAAGCTCGAAACTCATTGAAGCCTTCAGCCCTGAAATTCCCTATATGTCCGATCAAACAAAGATAATAAAATGCCTGATGCAACAGCAACAGGCACCTTTCAAAACCCTTGTAACACCGTGCAAAACCCCGTAAAACCCACCACGATCCCCTCTAAAGCTGCCAGAAAACACCCTAAACCTTAAACCATTCATAAGGCTTTCTTAAAAGGAATCTATCGAAATCCAGAAAACATGAACGAACTCTGGAATGGTCCGTCTGCGGATCTCCCCCGTTGCCGGCAAAAGGCGAGCTTGGTCTTCCAGGAGCTTTTCGTGAAGGGGCACCGGAACCATCCTAGGCTTTTAGATTTTAGCTAGGGTTTACTTAAAGGATCATGGGACATAGTAACTATGATTATAATTCGGGTAACTATACTTACAACCCCAATTAATGTACTTATAACCTTACTTACTAAGTCCCATGATCCTCCAAGTAAGGTCCCTTTGAGCGTTGCCATCCTGGGCTTTAGGTTTTGATGAGGGTTTCGGCTCTAGGGTTTTATCAGGGATACCATCCTAAGCATTCTATGCTTTGCTTAGGGCTTAGGGTTTATATAATCGATACCATCCTGGGCTGTGCAATTGTAATTTGGGAGTTTCCGACAATTAACGGTACCTTGTGTGGGGTTCCTTATGATAAGGATCCTACTGTTTACGGTACCATATATTAGGATCCCCAAATTTAGGCAACTTCCAATCAGGGTTTAGGCCAGGTTCTCTTTCGGGCTACCATCCCGAGGCTTTTTTGTTTCGTTTAAGGTTTAGGGTTCTCACCGAGTTTAGGGCTATGCTACTGCAGCAGCTGCTGCTATAGCTAAAGCTACTGCTACCGCTGTCGCATCGCTTCTACCTCAAAGCGCACACTGGAAATGTGCCATTATCTTCGCACCCTTATCGGCGGGCTCTTCTCGCTCGAACCAAGCATGGATTGCGGAGTCTCGTTCCTGGTGCTGACGGTACAGAGGATTGCCGGTCGCCGGAAACCCGAGATGAATACTTGAGACAGCGCAGGGGCCAGTCTTTCATTCGCAGCCGTTACCGAAGCACGTAGAACATGTTTAGCCCGACCGCAAAAAATCTTGTGTTCCATCTGAGCTGGAATCTGTTGCTTCGGTTTGGGATAAATTCGAAACGGCTGGCTCGGGTGTAAGGCCTCGGTGGACTGTCGTTCATACCAAGACAACGTCGAAATCTGCGACACCTAGCAGTGGCTGCGTGGAATTGAAACCGAACATCATGAACGGCAATAGGGGAGGTCTGAGAACGGGTGTCGGCGTCCAGTTTAACCTAAGGTTCGCCGGCACGACGAGGAACATACTCAAGTGGTAAATGTTCGCGCAGATCCACCTGGCCGAGCTTAGGAGTTCTATCATGCTCCTCAGGCGAGCCGGCACTAGAAGGTCGGGCTGATCGATGTCGACTACTAAGCCCTGCCAGTTGTTCTTGTCGCGGACCACGTTCAACGTTGTGGACGAAGCAGAAGCCAGTGCATGGACAATGGAGATAGGTGTGATCGAAGTAGAAGGATGGCAGGCGCTCAACCACTTCCACTGGCAGGATAACACCACCCCCACCACAGCGATCATTTTGATAAACAACATGCGCTGCATCTGACGGTGCAACATCTGCAGCAAATGTAGTCCACTCTGCCGGTGCATCGTAGAAAGGAGGATCCCAGAAACCAGAACTGTCCGAACCTTCAGTGTCAGACTCGCTATCCAAAAAAATTGGGAGTGTAACACTTAATCTCTCCAAGTCAGCAAGCTGTGCGATGTACGGAGCTGGAAGCATGACCTGGACCGGCTGGGGTTCATGCAAAAGTTGAAAAGGCTCGTCTTCTGGTTGCTCGAACAGTAGTTCGGCCCAAGTGTCCAATGTATTAATTGCCGTGTTCTCGGCTGTTTTGCCGCCTACACAATCGATACGCATCGATGAAGACAACAAAGACGAGAACGAGTCGGTGCTGTGTGTAGGGACACCAGAAAAGATTTGGTCGCACGACGCAACGTGGAACACGTCCAGTTGCATGGTCTTGCACTCGTGTTTCCGATGACTGGTTTGCACCAGCATGGTGCCATTTTCCAAGGCACAGAGACCCATGAAATGGTGTTTCACATAGAGCAAGTAGGCTCCACAAGAAAGCTTTGCTGATAGTGTGGGACGACATGATGCCTTAACGATTGCAGCAATGGATACACTGTTGAAGTTATCAATGAATAAGCTATAATTTGAAACTTAAGAGCGGGCACCGAAGGGTAATAGATGTCAAATGTAAATCATCCCGAGCAAGAAACTTGTAGGGCTGCAAAAGGCGGTTGCCGTCCGCCGCCGTCTCTTCACTGGACCGGACGTCTTCCAAGGGTTCTCATCGACGTCTGAAAATTGTCCAAACCCACCTTGTCAGCCTAATTAACCTGATCTGCTTTGATTCGAGCCGACATGGACGTTCAGCAACGCAAGTGCTGTTGCCTACAACATGTCAGAAGCTGCACAATGCTACTGCAAGCAACCGTTTCCCCATGGTTTCTTCCGTCGCAGCGCTTCTTCCCCGAAGCGAACACCAAGAACCGCAGCAAACACATCATCACCCCTTCGAAAGGGAGTGCTTGCTGTGTCTGTCTGATAGAAACGAACTGCATACAGTGTTTCGGCCAAGGTAGGCCACCTTCTGGGAAAGGATCGGCAACGTTCTGAGTTGGGGGGCCTGCTGATGACAAAGCCACAAAGCTCAAGCCTACCCGCTACAAGTAGCGACCTATCCAACTGAATAAACCGCTTGTTGTGTGCCCTTCCGGCCGGGTCTAAGTACAATTTTTTGCTCAAGCCTAAGGGCATCCCCACATGCACTGGGAAGTCCAAAAAAGCGACCAGAGAATTGTTTAGAGTTCAGGGTTTTTTCGCGTAGGATTCACGGCTTCGGTGATTGCTCATCTGGCTGCTCCCCGCTCCGCAGCACCAAATGAAGGAAGTCCTCCCCTGAGCATCCCATTTTGATTACGTTACAATCAAGTAATATCGCAAGAAGATATTGATATTTCACGCTGCGGTTACAGGTAAGCTGCAGATTCGCAGTCACCCCGGCTCTTCCCCAGACAGTCGGCTCAGAAATGCGCCCCTCGCAATGGTTGCTTCTGCCTGCCCGAAACCAGCGAATTCAACTACCAATCTGTACCAACCCACCGGGAACCCTAAACCTCAAACATTCTAAAATTCTCTACCATTAACCCCAAACTGCTATGCTCCAAACTGTCCGTCCTTCACCTGCACCCTACACCACAATACTCAACTCATCAACCCGAACTTCCTATGCCCGAAATGGGAGTTCCCGAAAATTAGGGGTACCTCATTTTGGGGTCCTTATAAAAGGATCCTACTATTTAGGGTACTATATTAGGGTCCCCTATTTTCGGAAACTCCCAAATGTCAACCCCTCCACCGAAACTGGTATTCGGAGCCCGCATCTTGCCGCTGTGTTTCGCCGGCTTCATTTGCGTCTCCTGAAGACATCAAGAAGGACCCTTGAAGTAGAGGCTGGAGATCTCGAGAACTTAACCGGAATCGTCCTAATCATTGATCATGCTGAATCCTGGATTGCGGAACAGTGCGTAAGTTCGTGATGTAGCACCCGCCCTATGCGGCTGCATGCTAGAAGGGAGAAATCTCATTTTTGTAATTTTGCGGTGTAGGCGGAGGTGCTTAGCTTCGTGTTTCATATATGGGAGTTTCCGAAAATAGGGGTACTTCATTTTGGGGTCCTTATAATCGGGATCCCACTATTTAGGGTACTATATTAGGGTCCCCTATTTTCGGAAACCCCCGTATATGGCTGGAGGCTGCTGCAGCGTAGGATTCCCGTGCTTCAGAACGAGACTTCACGACTTTCCGTCCTTGGGCGCGAACACTGGAGCCGCTTTTTAAACCCCCCACGACACGAATTGAAACTCAAAATCCCGAAGGAACCCCTGTAGGACACAAAACAGATACAAACCCAAAAAAAGCACTTACAACGCTTCAGAACGGCTTTCAAACTTCAAACTTCAAGGCGTCTAAATAAAACCCTTACTGAAACCATACAGCACTTCGACCCGCCTCGGCCAGCTGCTGCTGCCATGCCACACGACGTGCCCCGAGCTTTCTCTCCTCAGTGAAAACAGGGGCCAGGAGGTACATACTATAGGGGCCTGTAATTGTTAGAATTGGGTTTTGGGTTATATATTGCTAGAACTATAATAATAAGGAACCTCCCCCCCCCCGAAAACAGATACATAGGTTTTGAGCCCCTATATAAAGCCCTTGTAGGACTCCCTCAAGGGTTCAAAACGTGATTTCTGGGAGTCCCCTAGGGCTCAAAGGGCCCCTTGAAGGGCTCCTTTCGGTGCTTCACGGTTTCTTATAAGGGCTTCTATACGGGATACTATAAGAGATTCCAAAGGGGATCTACAGATCTACAAGCTTTTGCTAGTGGGTTCGGAGTTTGCGGTTCAGGTTTTCGGTGTTTTTCGATTTGGGACTTCGTCTTTAGGGTTTAGGGACCCCCCTAACTAGATTTCGGTTAGGGGGTCTCGAAGGAGTTTGTACCGGCATCCTGCATTTATAGGGCATTTATATGGTTGGCTTTATGGGGGCTTCATGGAGGTTTGGTGAGAAGTTCGTGAATGCGACCATGACCCGGCTAGCCCACCGTCCGAGATTAGGGCTCAGGTCCTTGACCTTTCGTCTTCATCTTCAGATGCCGAGAAGCTGTTTCCAGTGATCTTTGCCACTGGCACACCTCCTGCTGCAAGGCCAGGGCTTGCAAGCCAGTACGGTCTTGGAACCAATATTCTTTACATGATCAGATGGCTGGGCAATCAGGCAGGCAAGACATGTGCACAGTTCATGGACCCTTCACAAGGACCCTACAAGCAATAATTAACAGGGGCTCCAAACGTAAAAAAGGTCCTACATTCCCTGATGCCATCTGTAACTACCGCCGTACACCCTAAACCCCAAACTCTTCACCTGAAGCCCTTTTCAGCACGGACTTGGAGTGTATCCGGCAGCGAAGCACTAGGGCAGAGCTTCCTCAGTCACCCTAAACCCCAAACCCTTAACCCTAGGTCATCCGGAGCGCCTGGGACGTTTGGGCTTTAGATGGCCCCAAAGCCCGGATGACCATGTTGCCACAAAGCCTTCGAATTAGGGGCCCTTCTCTAGGATGCCCAGTAAACTAGGAAACAAAAGGGCTCCCCTTTTGGTATTGGGTAACTTTATAGGGAACCTTGGACTACAAAAAGGGAATAAGGGTGCTACTGGGCATCCTAGTTCCTGAAAACAAACGGAACACTCAGAAAACATGCAGGAGCACATAGCACCAGACCCGAACCTACGGACCGAGGACACCCTAAACCCGTAAGGGAATCTCTTCCGAACCACTAGCTCCTGCTCTACAGTTCGAAACGCCTGGGCTTTGAGCGTTTTGGGCCAGTTTAGGTGCAGGCGCGGGTATTGAGACTAAGCCCTGCTGGGAGGGGGGGGGGGGGGGGTGAGGGTGGGGGCGATCAAGGGTTCAGGCTTTTGGGCTTGGAGGTCCTAAATGGTGGCAGGGCCGTCCCGAGCTAACCGTGCTCGAACACTTGAACAAAACCAGAAGCAGCGCATCAGCAAAACAAATCTGTACCCCTGCACCCGAGACCCTCACCTGGATTTTGGGACACTCCAGGTTTAGGATTTGAACACACCTGAAACCCCAAAGCCTTAAAACCCTATCCAACCCTTATAGAGCCCGGCTAAATCGCAAAGAAATGCTGCACAAAGACCCTATAGAACTCATCAAGGAGACCCATCCTAAACCCTCAACGCTAAGCTCGAAACCCTAATGCCTAAACTGCACCTCTTCCCGGAGCTGCAGGGTGATGCTCGTCTCTTTGACTGCAAGCCTTGGGAATGTGTCAGCTCTGCCATTAGCGTCTAGGGTTTAGGGTCTAAAGTACGTAGCTCCAAACACCGTAAAGCAAAAGGCCACGAAGCCGTAAAGCCCAACCAGCCTATAGCCCTAAAACTTTCTAGACGCCTTGTATCATCTCTTACAGTACTATAAAAACCTTAATAATTAGAATAATTAGAATAGGGTTTCTACAATTATAATAAGGAAGCCCCCCAAAGACCCTATTCTAATTACCAAGGCCCCTATACACTAAATCTCATGCAGGCCCTGCTTAAAACTCTTGCGGTTTCGAGCCGCTGATCCCACACCTTAGGCTGAAACGCTGCCAAAACAAAATAAATCAAAGGGGAAAAGGAGGGTCCCTTAATTTAGGGCTCTTAGGGTTCCTTTAAAAAGATCTATAAGGGTTTAGGGTTTAGGGTTGATTCAAAGGGGAAAAGGAGGGACCCTTAATGGGGACCCCTACCCTATAATAGGCTATAGAATGGGTACATCATGGCTATATTAAGGGTATATACCTAGGGGTCCTTGGGTCCCTCCTTTTACCCTTGGAAAAATGCCACAAAGAGTTAAAGCCCAATAAGCCCCCTGACGCTTCTTAAGGTTCAGGCTTTCTGGGCTTCAAGCACCGACCTGCCTGCTGTCTTTCGTGGCTTCGCGGCTTTAGGGGGTTTAGGCTTCTTGGCTTTTATAATTTAGGGCTTGAAGTCAGGGTATAGGGGTTCGTGTCTTTAGGGCTTTAGGGTCAAGTTAGGGTTTGGGGGGTAAAAGGTTGAGGGTTTGGGTCCACTTGTGTCATGTAAGTAGGGCTTCAGAACGATGGAGATCTAGGGCACTTTTGCAACATAGGTCGGGCCAAGGCGCATGTGCTGCTCTTGACTATTGCATATGATCCCAGAGACTCCAATATCCCTTAATTAAGGAATATGCTTTAATTCATATTAGGGATCCTACTATAATTTATGGTATATTCCTTAATTAAGGGATATTGGAGTCTCTGGGATTTGTCAGTTTCTGCGCTGCCGAAGGCCCTTTAGCTGCAGAACTTCGCCGCTGGTTCGGTTTCGAGGTTCAGGTCCAGAAAATCAAACCCTAAACCCTAAACCCCTGAACCCTAAACCCTAAACCCTAAACCCTAAACCCTAAACCCCTGAACCCTAAACCCTAAACCCTAAACCCCTGAACGCTAAACCCTAAACTACCTGAACCCTAAGCCGAGACCCAGTCAGGAATACATTAGAAGGGGCCCCCACCCTGTAAGAGTGGGATAATAGGAATATAATAGGGCCCTAATATAATCCTTAGAGTCACGACTACAGGGTGGGGGGGCAGCTTCTAAGGAATACAGCTTTCACACGGGCGATTGATGGTTCAGAATTTTGACGCAGAGCCTCACAACTCGAATGGCATAATGCGGACACCTCATCTAACCAGTGGCTTTGGGCTTCCCTTGGCTCTTTCGCTCTTTTTAAGAAGGATTCTCATCATCCCTGGCTCCTTAGCTCCTCCAATATCACTGGCTAGTCATTCTCCCTGGTTAGCAGGAGGCGTTGATGATATGAATCCTGCATTACCCATAATCAGGAATATACCATAGTTGTCATAGTTTAGGGTCATTAAGGTAATGCAGGATTTATACCATTTGTGTGAATCCTTGAGTGTCCATTAGACTACTGGGGATGATGGAGTTGGGTCCCCGAAGAATGGTCTTTTGGGACCTAGCTCCACAATGGTGTATAACTGTACATATTATATATATATATATGTGTGTATATGTATATATATATATATATAGATATATAAGTGTGTATATATATACATATACATCATGGACTTCTGGGATTGATATCTCTGCCCTTCTCAAAACTCAGCGGGCATGACACACGGGGCGAGAAGCAGAATAGAGTCGCATGATGTCCATGTCTAGAAAATCAGACTATGCAGCCGGAGCAGTGCAGGTCCTATTCGTACTTAGAGTTCGGAGACATGCCATTTTAGATATCGTTGGTGCACACGACCATGGAGCCCCAAATCCCTATTCGCAACCCTTCCCCATGACGATGTATGACAGCCAACCTGGCCACGAGTCTTCACCCACGAAACCTATCCCAGGCGCCCTGAAAACACCTAGTGCTTCCGGCTTTAGAACTGAGTCGGGCGTCTCAGTCTGCGCCAACTGTAGCTCTGCAGCCTCTGCAGCAATTCTCTCAGAATTGAGGCTGCTTTGCTGAGTCGGTGTCTGCAGTCTGCAAGCCGCGGACCCAAATCACACCCAAGGTTCGTAACACTCCCTTGTGCTTGAAATGCAGTGAAACTGGAAAATGACTCCTCCTGTGGAACACCTAAGCCTGGGTCTCCGGTCCCAAAAGCCTGGTGAAGGATCACGGCCCAACGGCTGATGGTATAAATCCTGCATTACCCATATTAAAGAGTATACCATAATTACCAGAGTTAGGGTCGTTAGGGTAAGGCAGGATTTATAGCATCAACAGAAGCAATTACCCAAGAAATAAACCCGCTTACCCTCAGCCCCTCAAGAGCTTGCCCTGACTCGTAAATCTCTGCAACCAAAACCTACCTCAAGGAACCGAATGACCCTTAAAAGTAGGGCCCGCAGCCTCATACTATGAATCCCTACATGGCGCATGAAAACTATAAGCTCTGTTAGAGTTCATTTCCTCTATCATGTGCCCTACACCCCTAAACCCTCAAACCGTATGCCTTAACCCCCAAACCCTACCGTCAACACCCCTAACCTCGAACCCCTACAGCCCTAATTCCAAGACATCCCTAGAACCAAACCCAATACTATACGCACAACAGTCTAAACCCTAAACCCTAAACTCCTGAACCTTAAACCCCTACCACTCTCCGGGGTCTAGGCTTCAGGGTTTGGGGGCTTTGGGTTTAAACCCAAAACCCCTAAACCCTCAAACCCTGAAAGTTTTTAGGGTTCAGGGTCATCCCTACCCCTGACCCTAAACCCTAACCCCCCGGAGTTCCCTCATATGTACCCCTTATGGATCCCTTAAAAAAAACCCTTATGGATCCCTTTAAAGGAACCCTTATGGATCCCTTTAAAGGAACCCTTATGGATCCCTTTAAAAACAACCTCCCTAAACCCCAAACCCTAAACCCTTTGAAGGAACCTCCTACTAGCTTTTACCCATAGGCTCCAAAGTAGTTCCTTTTGGGGATTACCCTATAGGATTCTATATATGAACCCCAAAAGGGAACCTTAGGGTAAAGGTGTTCGGGCCCTTATGGATCCCTTTAAAGGAACCCCTAGATGGATCCCTTTAAAGGAACCCCTAGATGGATCCCTTTAAAGGAACCCCTAGATGGATCCCTTTAAAGGAACCCCCTGATGGATCCCTCTAAAGAGGAGTTCGGGGTGGCGGACCTGCAGTCGCTGCCGCTGCTCCTTGCCCTGGCTCCGGCGCTCCGTCAGGGCAGCCTCGAGCTCCTCAAGAGGTTTAGGGCTAAGGGTTCCTTTAAAGGGATCTATAAGGGTTCCCTTAAAGGGATCTATAAGGGTTCCTTTAAAGGGATCTTTGAGGGTTCCCTTAAAGGGATCTTGAGGGTTCCCTTAAAGGGATCTATAGAGGTTCTTGAGAAGGGATTTTATAAGGATCATGGGTTGTAGGCTAGGGTGTACAGTAAACTCCATAAGGTTGGCAACCGAATTAAGGCCCAAAAGTGCTGGGATTCCCTATACATTAACCTTAAGGATTGAGGCTATGGGGTTTCCCACTTTTGTGCTTCTACTGTAATTTTAGCTGTGACTTAGTAAGTAAGGTTATAAGTACCTTAATTGGGGTTATATGTATAGTTACCTTAATTATAACCCTAGTTACTAAGTCCCATGATCCTCCAAGTAGGGTGTAGGGTTTCAGGGCGCTTTTGGAGATTTCGACTGAGGGGTTCCGCAGAAGCTTTAGGGATCTAAGGGTTTCTCTTAGAGTTACCCTAAGGCCCCGAAGCAGGGCTCATATATAGAATCCTTTAAGGTACTCCCCGAAAGGAACTACTTTCGGGCCTATGGGTAGGGCTTGGGTGGAGCGTTTGAAAGCGTTCTTCGGCTGTTTTCCACTTGTTCTGACCAGGCTCGGGCTTTTGATAAGCTGTTTAAACTGTACCCTAAGGCCCCAAAGTAGTTCCTTTCTTGGGATTATCCTGTAGGAATCTATATATCAACCCCCAAAAAGGAGCTACTTTGGGGCCTTAGGGTAACAAGGCCTTCGGAGTGAGGCTTACTTAAAGGATCATGGGGCTTAGTAACTAGGGTTATAATTAGGGTAACTATACTTATCACCCCAATTAAGGTACTTATAACCTTACTTACAAAGTCCCATGATCCCCATTGTAGAAGAAGCCCTATAGATCCCTTTAAGGAACCCTATTATAGAACCATAAGGAACCCTAAACCTTACTTACTAAGTCCCATGATCCTCCAAGTAGAGTTGCGGACCCGCTGTTGCTAGCCCTTCTGTCCTCCAGGGGACCAGGTCGTAGTATCTGCAAGTGCCAAGACAAGGCATCCAACATCAAAAGCAATAACAGAAGATTTAGGGTTGACCTGGACCCCAAAAGTATGTAGAATAATAGCCTTTGATAGGTTTTGGGCCATTATTTTACCTACTTTTGGGGGTCTTGGTATGCCATAGCCGAATTGCCGAACACAAAAAGCAAGACCTGACCCTCCAACCGTTGATCTGGGACGCTGCATGGGGATCTATATGGGAGTTTCCGAAAATAGGGGACCATAATATAGTACCCTAAATGGTAGGATCCTTATTATAAGGACACCAAAATGAGGTACGCCTCATTTTCGGAAACTCCCATATACTCCCATACCAGAAGAACTTGAAGCCCCTGAGGGCCTGATGACAACTCTCTGAAACCGTATGACGCCCCGTGACGCTGTGTAAACTCCCTACCCTGAAACCCGACACTCTAAACCCTACTAAACCTCTAACCCCAGGGATCTAAGGACTCATATATTAAGGCTGTTGGGCCCAAAGACCATACTATATCAGGCTTTTGGGCTATTTTGATCCCTAGGGCAAGTTACCCGACACTCTAAACCCCCCTAAACCCCTAAACCCTAAACCCCTAAACTACTAAACCTCTAAGTTGTGCGGCAGGCGTCAGCCCGAACTTTGTGGCTCTGGTCTTCAGATTGAGCCTTGCAAGGAAGCTTAAAGGATCATGGGACTTAGTAACTAGGGTTATAATTCGGGTAACTATACATATAACCCCAATTAAGGTACTTATAACCTTAATTACTAAGTCCCATGATCCTCCAAGAGGAGAGATCGACGAGCCGGGTGCTGATATTGAAACGGCGCCGGGTTTAGGGTTCCGGGTCCCTAAACCCCAAACTGTATTCGGGTCCCTAAAAACTTTAAACTGTATAATCGGTAGCTGTACCTAGACCCCACAACTACCCTCCAGTATACCCCAAATACGGCCGTGTTATACTTGAAGCTTCTACGCAGCGTTGACTGGCATGTGGTACTGACCTCCTGAACCCCTAAATAAGAAGGAGCTCCTTGTCGAGGGCTTGTGTGGGTGCTGATGCCTAGCCTCCAGGAATCTCGGGCTGAGCCTCAACAATCAGGCTTAGGGACCATAAAGGCTCTATCAAACTATACTGAACTTAGAACCCTAGCACAAATTACAAGTTCAGCTGTTTCTTAGGGATTCTAATAAGCAAAAACTAAAAATATTTCTAAGTACCCCCAAGTAAACAGAAAGGGCCCTTGGGGGAGGTCCTGGTAACCTGAGGCCTCTTGGGCCTTCGGATTTCGACTAACATAGAGGCCTTAATAATTAGAATACCGTCCCTTACGCTTCCATTACAGGGGTCTACAACATGGGCGATTATAAGGATTTAGTATAGGATCCTTAATAATCACCTATACGATTTTTTGGGGGGGCTCTATTAAGGCCTCTATACTCTGATTGTTGAGGCTCAGCCCGAGATTCCTGGAGGCTAGGCATCAGCACCCACACAAGCCCTCGACATTTAGGGGTTCAGGAGGTCAGTACCACATGCCAGTCAACGCTGCGTAGAAGCTTCAAGTATAACACGGCCCCTAATATTCAGGGTGCCCAAAAAGGGGCCTTAATTTTGACAACTGCCCATATGGGCCATAATAATTAGAATAGGGTTTTGGGCCCATTATACTATAATTATCCCCAAGATAGCATAGGTAATTATTAAGGCCCCTACCCCGGTATTTAGACCTTCGGCCCGGGCCCGCACCCTTGCTTAAAGGATCATGGGACTGAGTAACTAGGGTTCCATAAAGGGCTCCTTTAAAGGGGATCTATAGGGGTTCTATCATAAGAGGGGTTTTAGGGTCTACTTACAGGATCATGGGACTTAGTAACTAGGGTTCCATAAAGGGCTCCTTTAAAAGGGATCATCTATGGGGGTTCTATCATAAGAGAGGTTTTAGGGTCTACTTAAAGGATCATGGGACTTAGTAACTAGGGTTTTAATTAGGGTAACTATACTTATAACCCCAATTAAGGTACTTATAACCCTACTTCCTAAGTCCCATCATCCTCCAAGTAACCCTCCATCCCCGGTAAGCTCGGATGTAGCCTCCAGGCAAACGAGCATAACAAGCCTAGAGTAAATAGCATGGTGAGCCTTTTTTATGATGCAGGCGTCGCTATTAGACTTTACCTGAGACTTTTCTGAGCCATAACCCCCCAGCCGACATGGCGAATGGCTAAAAAAACCCTGGAAGCCCTGAAACCCTTAAACTCTAAACCCTCAAACCCTCATAATTACCAGTGAAAGAGCCCTTGAAGGGAACCCTTAAATGAACCCTAAACCCTTACAGGAACCCCGAACCCGTCAAGAAACCCTTCAAGGAACCCCAAACGCTTAAAGGACCCCTTAGAGGAAGCCCTAAAAAGGATGCCTTAAAGGAGCCCTTAAAGGAACCCCAAACCCAAACGCTTGAAGGACCCCCAAAAGCTGACATTAGCGAGCAGCCAGGGCTTTCTCGAACTGCTCCCCGATCGTCTGGTATCCTTAAAGCTTACCATAAGGGTTTAGGGTTTAGGGGGTTTCGGGTTTAGGGTTTAGGGTTTAGTGGGTTTAGGGTTGGGAGCTGACCATAAGGGCTGAGTGTTTAGGGCTTTCCATAGAATCTCTGAATAATTTCAGGTTCAAACTTCTAGAGGTATTTCGGAAGGGGTTTGCAGAAGCCTGTGGATTCGGCCTAGGCTTTGTGCAATTTGTTCTTCGGCTTCATGAGTTTTTAGAAGGTTTGGGAAGGTTAGTCATGATGCCCGATTTTAGTCATTGTAGTCCTTATGTCATAGACTATGAAGGCCAAAAAACAGTAGCATGACACCACAAAGGCGCCCATGTTCCGGCTATGGGCTAAGGCTAAGGTTTAGGGTCCAGGCAAAGGCACGTAAACGACCATGCGAACACGCGGATCTTACAAAAAAGGCCTTTCGGAGAAATCTCCATGGTGGGGCGTTTGCCTAAACCCTATAAACCCTAAACCATTTGTACCCGTACCGGAATATCATACCCCATCAGCCCTAAACCTTCAGACAGTTGATGTGAAGTTTTGGTGCTTTGCGAGCCTGAATCCTGCTCGCAATCCCCACCATTGATCGCAGCTTACGGCTTGGAGTACAGGGTTTCGGGCTTAATGTCGAGGCCTTCATAATTAGAATAGGGTTTGGGGGGTTCCGTATTATAGTTATAGTATAAAAAACCCCGAACGCTATTCTAATTATTAAGGCCCCTACATTAGGGTTTCCTTAGAGTTCTTCAGATTTTTTTAAATGCCCGGGGAGCAAACGTTTCGGCTTTAATGTAAAAGTCGCAGTATTTACCGATACTAATTCTTGGGGTTCCGATTATAACGGACTTTAGCATGCGCATCCTATACCCCAGAATCCTACTCTACCTTCTGCCCCTATGCGCAAACCCTTCTAGCCAACCTTAACGGAATCCATTTTAAGCAATCCTACCCCATAATTCCATGCTTGTTGAGGGCCCCTACAGCAAGCTTGCCGGATCTTTTTTTTTTTAAAGTGCAATGACTTGCCGGATCTTTAAACCCCAGGGTTTCTGTGTTTCGGGTTTAATTGGTTTAGGGTTTAGGGTTTAGGGTTTAGGGCCCTAAACCCTAAACCCTAAACCCTAAACCCTAAACCCTAAATCCTAAACCCAAAACTCCTAAACCCTAAACCCCTAAACCCTAAACCCTAAACCCTAAACCCAAAACTCCTAAACCCTAAACCCCTAAACCCTAATTCAAAGGATCATGGGACTTAGTAACTAGGGTTATAATTAGGGTAAGTATACTTGTAACCCCAATTAAGGTACTTATAACCTTACTTACTAAGTCCCATGATCCTCCAAGTAGGTTCTTCCGGGACTGGGCAGGTGCGGGGAGGCCGCGATCAAGCGGTCGAGGGTTTAGGGCTTTAGAGGCTTGGGGCTTAGGGGTTTAAGGGTTTAGGGGTTTAAGGGTTTTAGGGGCAGGGGTTTAGGGTTTAGGGTTTAGGAGTTTAGGGTTTAGGGTTTAAGAGTTTAGGGTTTAGGGTTTAGGAGTTTAAGGTATAGGGGTTTGGGGGTTTAGGGGTTTGGGGGTTTAGGAGTTTAGGGTATTAGGGTTTAGGTTGTTGAGGGGTTTAGGTTTCAGGGCCTCGCGGCCCAGGTCAGGATTGGCAACACAAGAGCTCAGGTGGACCTGCGCCAGAAACCGCTTCGCTGCATATCTGCGCCAGCTGGGCGCGCTGACGCCGAAGTTGCTGCATCTTTTGCTTCTCTGCCTCCAGCTTCTGTTTCTCTGCCTGCAGCTTTTGCAACTTTGTGACCCTAGGCCAGGCAGTGCGGCGATTGATTGCCGAGCCTCGAGGCTATTGGTCCCTTGCGGCGCATGCAAACCGTTGGGCTCTGCAGCGTCGCAGGACGACGCCTGGCCTCAAGCCCTTACTCAACCTAAGCCTGTGCACGTTAGCTCTGTCGGACCGTCGCCCTTTCTCACCAAGTTTCCTTCTCAAGCCATAAAGCCCTGGCAAGCTCAAGTCAAAAACGCTGAAAGTCACGAAACCGGATAAGTTCGACAGCCCCTCAACTCCAAAGCTTGAGCCATACAGAGCTAAAGCCCTGGCAAAGCCCAATACATGTTCTAAGCAAACCCTCAAGCACCAGTAGCAACCCTATACACTGGAAGCCTGAATCCCTGAACTGGAAATCCAAAGCCCCCAAACCCGAGAACAAAATCTTACACCCTAAACCCCTAACCCCTAAGCCCCTAAACGGCCCACCCAGGTTCGACGCCGCAGAACCCAGCGCTGCTCCTCTGACTCCTGCAGCTGCCTCGCAGAGTTCTGATTTGTCTGTCTGAGGTCTATGGTTTAGGCTTCAGGGATTAAGTTTTAAGGTTTAGGCTCTCAGTTAGCCCAAAGGGTCCAAGTACCAATATAGTAACTACTGAATAGATATACAAACGATACTATTACTTGGACAATTGAAATGTTATGATTGCAACTACGACTACCAGTATAGTTCTTATGTCAGCTGTGGCAAAATATTTTACTACCATCGTGTTCTTGTTGGTGGGCAGTTGGGTTTGATAATGTTTGGTGGGATTCGACTAGGTTCTCGACCGCTGCGGAGTCTATCCTGGAATAATGGAGATCCTTTATGAGGTTAAGGCTTTGCAAAGGATATCGTTTTACAGGGTGTGGATACTTGACTGGGGCTTGAGGTATGTCAAAGGGTGATGGGACTCAGCCAAGCAGCAAATACACAATGAAGTGGGACACGTGGTTGCTGGGCTGGTAGCAAGAAAATCTGCAAGCGTTCTCTCATTTACGCTTGTCCGAAGCCCTAAACCCCAAGAACTTCGTCTTGCAACACGAACAATCAAACTCGACGCATCAAGACCGGAATCCTTCAATCTCGATTTTCTGCTATGCGAAGTTTGACCACCGCCCATGTAGAGACAGAGCCCTGAAACCCTAAGGCCCTAAGCCCAACAAAGCGAACGCTTCTTGCCCAAAAGCCCTGAATGCACAACACCCTCACACATTTCTAGAGGAACATGCGACTGAGCAGGCTGTTCTTGTGTAGTGACATAAGCACCTCAAAATACTGAGCGCAGAATACTACTTGTAACCTTGCTGAGTCCTGTTATCCTTCATAAGAACCCTATAAGCCGCTATAAAATCTCATCGCGACAGCCCTACAACCATTCCATAAGGCCTTGTTACAACAACCCTGTACTACAGCCGTAGAATGGCCTAGTTCAACAACCCTACAATCAAGCCATATAAGAACCCTCGAAGAAGCCTTAAGCCCTAAACAAGCCTAAACCCTAAAAACCTGAAACCCTAAACCCTAACAGCTAAACCCTAAAAGCTAAACCCTAAACTCCCCAAACCCTAAAGCCCTAAACCAGGCTGTACGACACATCCGTGCCTTTTGGCATCCTCCAGGGACGTCGCCCTGAGCTCCAGCCCAGGTTGAAAGCAGATGGGGGTAATGTAGGAACCTGATTAAGGAACCTTGGGCCGTTTTTAGGGTTCCTTCTATGAATCCTACTATTTTGGGGGTTATAGGCCCAGGGTTTCTTAATCAGGTTCCTACATTTCTACGACTATAATATAATGCGACAGTAAGGGTACTCTCCGGACACTATAAAGAACAGGCGCTTCAAATGCCCTCCACACAGCAAAGGGTAAGTCAAGACCGCTCAAGCTATCCATATCCCAAACCCTAAACTATAGACCTGTCAGGACCTGTAATCTAGGACGGATTCGTGGAGCGCCACACGTTTGAAGGATGCACGGGATTTTGCAACAACGAGGGTATCTAAACCCTAAACCCTAAACCCTAAACCCTAAACCATCCTGGACCGTACGACCCTCGACTCTGAAGCCCCTCAACTAAACCCAAAAACCCTACCTTAACCTACCAAACCCTACTTTTTTTGTAGGTTCTTATTGTAAAGCCTAGTATGGAATTTAAAAGGGACCCTACAAAAGAGTAGGTTTTGGTAGGTTAAGGTACATCCCTGAGCTCAAAATCCCTCAAACCAAGAACCCTGCAGTTCCCCGGCCACGTGGGGGGTGCCAGAAAATACGGGGGGCCAACGCATATACCGTATATAGTCGGATCCGTATAATAAGGAACCCTACATTCACGTCCCCCGAGCCTTCAGGTATCCCTAAACCTTAAGCCTTCAACCCTCAAAGAAACCCGTAATGCCAAACTGCAAACCCTCAAACCTCTCATAGATCCCGTCATAGAACTCAGAAACATGAGTCCACAATCAGCTGCTTCTGCCGAGGCTCAGCGAGCGTGTGGCGTCGGCAGCGTTGCCCGTCTCCTCTCCCGGACGGTCAGCGTCACAAGGCTGTGCTTCTGGGTTTCCATTAGGATTTTATACGGATTCTATGAAACACTTTAGGAGGAGTGCTGTAAGCATCATAGTGCCTTTTAAACCCCTAAACCCTAAACCCTAAACTTTTAAACCCTAAACTGAAGGCTTATGGGGTGTGGCGGCTAGGAAGTTCGGACTCGGAAGGATGCAGGGCTTGCAACTTCGGTCTCCTATCTCTGAAGCCTACCCAGAGGCTCATACCCTACCCCCTTTTTTAGGGAGCCTACTTTTTAAGATCACAGATCCTACCCATGCAACTAGGTATCCTAGAATAATGGGTAGGGTATGAGCCTCTAGGTAGAGTAGGGCTTAGGCTTTAGGGTTTGGATGTTTTTTCTTGGGGACGGGAGGGGGGGTGAGTATTTGGGGACCAGAGAGGCGTACACGATGGTTTAGGGTTTAGGGTTTAGGGTTTAAGGTTTAGGGTTTAGGGTTTAGGGTTTAGGGTTTAGGGTACGATCGGCATGTGCGGGGACTTCGGAGAGTACTGCCGAAACGATGCTGAAGCGCGAGTAGCCAAAGTAGGACTGATCCTGGGCCCTCCTTTCTCTAAACCCTAAACCCTAAATCGTAAACCCGACACTCCAAATCCTAAACCCTACACTCTATCTAAATCCTACACCCTACACTCTGAATCCTAAACCTTACACTCTAAATTTTCACCCTAACTCTACACCCTAAGCCCCTTTTAGCCTTTAAGAAGGGATCCTCAAAACGCAAACTCGGTGCCCTGAGCCGCCTTCAACTCTGCAGCCAGTGCCGGGGCTACTTGGGGGATCATGGGACTTAGTAAGTAAGGGTCCTTAAAGGGCTTCTTAAAGGGATCTATAGGGTTCCTTAAAGGGATCTATAGGGTTTAGGGTTTAGGGTCTACTTGGAGGATCATGGGACTTAGTAAGGTTATAAGTACCTTAATTGGGGTTATAAGTATTGTTACCCTAATTATAACCCTAGTTGTCCCATGATCCTTTAAGTACACCCCCACCCACGAGAAAACCTGCCAAAAAAGCGAAAGCAATCTATAGCCTTCTTCTAGGCTTAGGGGTTTAGGGTTTAGGATTTAGAGTTTAGGGTTTAGGATTTAGAGTTTAGGGTTTAGGTTTCTATAAGACCCAAACACACAGAACCACGCACCAGAATGCACACCCTGAGGAAGCCCGGACAGTCCTGCTGCACCTGTGCCCTCCGCGCTGCCAGCTCCTGTTCAGCTCTGAAAAGGTCTGGAAAACTCGAAGCCGATCCGGAGTGACCAAGAAACAGCCAAAGCTCGACTCAACACAAACAAGCTACAACACATAAGCACGCACAGAGAGCGTAATATCGGGGCCTTCATACTTAGAATAGGGGTTTGGGGCCCATTAAACCATAATTGTAAAAAGGAACCCCAAAAATAGTGTCGGCAATTATTAAGGCCCCTACATTAATCCAGAAGCCAGTCTAAGCTTGGGAAGACAAACACTTCATGAATGTAAGCTGCAGGCACCCCGCGCCCAAAGCCCTAAACAGCAAACTGTCCTCTAAACCCTTAACCCAAAAGAAGCCAACAACACATTACGACCACGGAAACCACCAGGATATCTCGAACTTTGATCTGCAAACCCGGATGACGCGAATAACTCCTACCCCAGGCCCAATCCCCCGTCAAAACAAAAACCTTATCGAACCCTGGACCCCAAACCCCACCGACATAGGGCCCTGCAAAACTATTCCCAAGATTCTGAGCCCAAAACTCCTTCGCCCCCCAAAAAAAAACTGAACTGGGGACCTAGAGACGATAGAAGAGTTTCCGAAGATCGGGGATCCTCCCCCCTATAGATCCCATATAGTACCCCTTATAGACCCCTTAGTAGCCCCTATATAGATCCCTTTAAAGGAACCTATATGGGAGTTTCCGAAGATCCGGGATCCGAATATAGTACCCTAAATAGTAAGATCCTTAGTCTGAGGACCCCAAAATAATGTACGGCCTAATTCCCGGAAACTCTAAACCCTCATCGAGAACCCTTATGCACCTGAAAAATACCCCTTTTAAGGAACCCTAAGGTGCCCCTAATTGTCGGAATCTCCCAAACCCCAAACATCGCTTCCACCGCAGATTCCAGAGAGTTCCTCGAGCCGTCGGCGTAGGTCCAAGACTTCACGGCGGCTCTGTTCCTCGTCGCGCATTGTAATCTTATTCACGTTTTAGGATTTAGAGTTGAATTTAGGGTACCTTTATTCAGGGTCGAGGGTTTAGAGCATTTCAGGGCTTTGGGTTTAGATTTGAGTTTAGGGTAATTCTATTTACATAGGGTTGAAGGTTTTGAGTTTGGGGTCGCGCCGTTTTGTTGCAAGGTGGGGCATTCTTGGCAATACTGAGCCCGCAGTATTGCTTAAGCAGCCGCGTTTAGGGTCAATTGAATCTCGGGTACCGGGCCGGAAGTAGAATAGGGGTTTGGGTACTATAAATCTGATAAGGTTTTGGGCTCGGGAACTTCAAAGATGTAGTATTTAACAAGGATCGAACCCTAAGAGTGATACTTAAAGGATCATGGGACTTAATAACTAGGGTTATAACTAGGGTAGCTCTACCTATAACCCCAATCAAGGTACTTATAACCTTACTTACTAAGTCCCATGATCCTCCAAGTATTGGTATCTATTTAGGCCCCTGTGTTGGAACAGTTTTGGGCGGACAGGGTACCGGGGTTCTCGACCAAGAGCCCTAAACTTCGCACACTGGAGGTTGGCAGTCCAGGTAATGTGGGGCCTTAATAGAACAGGGGTTCCCTTTAAAGGGACCCTTAAAAGAGGTCTACAAGGGATCCATAATAATAGGGTTCTATAATAACAGGGTTCTATATTAGGGGCCTTAATAAATAGAATAGGGTTTTGGGGGTCCTTCTTATGACTGTAGTATAATATACACCCAAACCCCAGTCTAATTGATAAGGCCCTTGTACTACACCAGGTGTCTTGCACTTGCTGAATTACGTTACTTTCCAAGAGTGGAGCTGCGTGTCGTATCTTGGGGTGATGCTCTTTGACATGATGAGTGCCGGGCACCCTAAACCCTACTTAAAGGATTATGGGACTTAGTAACTAGGGTTATGATTAGGATAACTATAGTTATAACCCCAATTAAGATACGTATAACCTTACTTACTAAGTCCCATGATCCTCCAAGTAAACCCTAGGTTCCGAATCAAGGCAAACCCCGGAACTGACCACCTGCGGGGGGGGGGCCTGGGAATCAGTAACCAAAAGCCTGGCACACGTCATAACCCACCCTTCTATAGTACCTGTACCCTGATTCTAGCACCCTTAGAGGAACCCCAAATCCTTAAATACTAAAGACCACAGGTAACTAAATAATCAAATCCTCTCACCCTTATCATAGTACCTCATAGCTCCGTTATTGCAGTACCCTTATGATAACAATACCCTTTTATGAACCCCGAAGCCTTAAGTAGTCAAATCATAACCCCACCCTTCAAGTACCTTGAACCCTCAACCCTAAGCCCTAAACCCCTTAACCCTGCCCCAAACCCCCAAAGCCTCCATAGGAACCCCGAAGCCTCAAATACATAACCCACCCTTCCTGTACCCTTATGGTTATAGCACCCTTAAAGGAACCCTTAAAGGATCCTTACCCTTATAAGAACCACGAAGCCTTAAGTACTAAAAGCCTCTGAAAAAAGCCCAAGCCTAAACTCAAGGCCTAGGCCGCCCACCTCCGTGGGTGGGCGGCGCTTAAGCCCCTCGACCTCGATGGCGCAGAGCGACACAATACGCTTGCCCGCCTTTCCACAGCCATGGGGAACCAGTACTGGTCCCTATTAAAGTAAATACCCTAAACCCCAAGCCCTTCACCTGAAGGACCAAGACCATTTGGGCCCCCCTCCAAAAAGGGACCCCTGAAGGGGGGGCTTGGGGCTTGCAGCGAGCAGAGTTCAAGGATTTAGGGGGAGACCTGGACAAAATTGCCCCCCCAGGCCAGGCCCCCTAACCCCCCGGCTCCGCCCTGCCCTGCCCTACCTGCTGCCCTGCCTTCCCTTCCTTGCCCTCCACTGACCAACCTGCTGCTGGTTTTTGCCTATTAAATTCTGTTCATAAAATGTGCATTTTCATTATGGCCCGATACCAAAGTCGAGGTCCCCTTCTTTCTTTGTCTGGGCCTAGTCTAAGGCAAGAAAGAAAACCATCGAATGGGTTTAGGTGCTAAACCCTAAAAGGAATAGGTTTGGGTGGTTTGGCCGCCTTAGACGGCGTGGGGTGGGAGAATTAAAAGAAAGAGCCATCCACCATCAGGCTCCAACAGCCAATCGTCATATTACGACGCACTCGACAATACACTGTCGCAAACTACTTCCTCTTCTGCGCCACTCTACGGCAAACCCTAAACCCTAAACCCCAAACCCTAAACCCTGAACCCTATAAACCCTAAAACCCTAAAACCCCAAACCCCAAACCCCAAACCCTAAAACCTAAACCCTAAACCCTATAAACCCTAGAGCCTCAGACCCGAAACCCTAAACCCTAAACCCTAAAACCTAAAACCCTAAAACCCTAAACCCTAAAACCCTAAAACCCTAAAACCCTAAACCCTAAAACCCAAGAGCCCAAGAGTCGATCTGCATCTCGTGGCTCTCGCGGAGCCTTGGGGCTGAGATGTTCCTCCTTTCATTTGGGAAAAAAAGAGACCCCAAATGGGGACCCCTGCCCTATAATGGGCTATATAATGGGTATATAATGGCTATATTAAGGGCATATGACCTTTGCTTTTGGGGGCCTTCGAGCTAGGGTTTAGGGTTTAGGCATTTAGGGATTTAGGGTTTAGGGTTTTTAGGGTTTTAGGTTTTAGGGTTTAGGGTTTTAGGGTTTTAGGGTTTATAGGGTCTAGGGTTTGAGGGTTTAGGGTTTAGGGTTTTAGGGTTTAGGGAAACTTTAGGGTTTAGGATGTAATCATGCGAGTTTCTGTAAGGATTCGATCGGGGTTTCTCGAGCTAAGGGTTTTACAGGGATCTTATAAAAACAGCCTTAATGTCAGCTATGAGAAATTGACACTTGCAGGACAATCTTGCGCAGTTTTGCCAGACGAATCAATGCGTCCAAATCTTGACTGCTCCGCCTTCTGCACAACCCCTGCCGCAAAGGCGACAGGCGAGACCAGCTTACTGCCAGCCAAACAGCGCAGATCACACAGCTCCACGCCATTCACACTCAGCAAACGGTCTGGTAGCGCGGAGCTGTGGGTGCAAATCAATTGCAGCGGAAACTGTGGACACGCCCAGCAGACCCGAAACTAACACGCCTGAGGAATGTGATGGAGCGCTGGAAAGCTTTCGCAGCCGTCGTCATCATGAACTTCCCAATCCTGCGGGCAACCGCCTTTTGCAGATCGCCAGGCCAACCGCATCCTCGGTCAGCTGCTGTCTGCACGCTTCAGCCCCGATCTCTGGGTCGTTGTCGTCGGGGGCTTCGTGGTCGGAGTTCAGCATTTAGGCGTAGGCTTGAGATAACTCGACGAGAGGCCTTACGCATACATCTTACTATTCCTTAACTAACCCAAAACCTTAGAAGGGGCCCCCACCCTGTAATAGTGGTATAATAGGAACATAATAGGGCCCTAATATATTAATCCTTATAGTCACTATTACGGAGTGGGGGCAGCTTCTAACCTAAATCCTAAACCCTTAACTGCAGGGTGTTGGGCTTCTGAGGAAGATTCAGCCTTCGATGGGCGATGTCACAACGCTTCAACGTGAAAGGTCTACGAGTCTAGGCTTCTGAGAGCTTCAAACAGAGTCTCTCCATGTCAGGACTGGTCGAGTATAGGTAATGTAAGAGCAGAACAAAATTCAATAGAGTGTCGGGACGCGTTATACTACTATAACCATAATAAGGAACCCCCAACATAGTATAGGTAATCAGTTAGGTCCCTATATTTAAAGCCTAACATAGATCCCTTATAGACCCCTTTTAACCAACCCTTTCAAAGAGCCCTATTCATATTCTAGAGAAAGTGGACCCCTGCCCATGTGGGATGGAGGGAGCTTCTAGGATAGAGGGCTTAGGGTTCAGGGTTTAGGGCTCAGCGCTTAGGGTTGAGGGTTTTTGGGCCTACGTGTGACAAAAACCTACCCTATGCCACAGACCTCTGAATACCAATTTTTACACGTAATGCCTACATGTATTTCGACTGCATGATCCTGGCAGCCCCTCTGTCGCAGCGCAGCAAACTAAACCCGAAGCAGTGACTGCTAAATCTTGCAAGCCCTAAACCCTAAATCCTAAATCACAAGCCCTTGCACCCACCCCATATATAAACCCTGAACACACCCAGTCTGCTCCATGAAAATCCCTAATGCCCAGGAACTCGGAGAGTTGCAAAGCCTCCGCTTCCAGCGTGCGAATGCGCTGCTCGGACCTGGGCGTAACTCGACCTCCGGAGCCCTCGCTGCACCTCCCCTCGAATTCTTTTCAAACTGAAAGTTGGAAGAGTGCTCGGGGGAAAATAAGGATTTTCAAACTGTTTAGCATGCTTGGCATTGCGACTAGTAGCACTACGGTGTTAGTATCAGATTCTTCTGATATCTGGTATTTACTATTCAGTATTCACTATCAGTACAGGGTTGTGGGTTTTAGGGGTTCGGGTTTAGACCAGGATCCCTGGGCTTGGGATGTAGGTACAGAGCAGAGTGTATGATTCATGAGAATTGCTCTTGCGACACTTAACACCGCTGCTCCCATTGTCATTCCTGGTACTGCTAACTATACTGTTTCTTAGGGGGTATAATAACCCAAAATTAAAAAAGTATTTCTAAGTACCCCTAAGCTAATGTTACTGTCACCTATGCAACTGTTCTATAGATCGGCACTAGCTGATAGTCGTGGCATCGTCATGGTTTTTGCTATGGACACTCACACCAGTGGCTCTTGTTGACCTCGGGCTGGCACTCGGGGTATGAAGCATATGGGTGGTTGTCAAAATTAGGGTCCCTTTTTGGGTACCCTAAATAATTTGTGCCATATTATAATAGGAACCCAAGACAACTACTCTAGATGGGTGGTTGTCACAATTATGGTCCCTTTTTGGGGTCCTTATTATAGCACGGCACCCAATATTTAGGGTACCCAAAAAAGAACCATAGTTTTGACAACCACCCATATAGACGCAGAGATTGAGACTCGCGGGGTCCGGGTATATCGCGCTTATGTCGAGATGAAAGATTAAGCGCGTGGGATGCAGAGAATGCAGAGCGGTTACCATGGGCGGTCTACGGTTCGGCCCGAGGCAGCTACTCGCAAAAAGAGACAGGAACTGCGCGATTCATGCTTCAGGGCAAAACAGTAATTCACCGGTTGAGGCCAACATTTGCACTGCGCCCTGAACCAGATCAAAATCCTCGAGCTCTTCATGCCAAGCTGCTGCGAATTGGCATGGTGCAGATTGAGCTCCTTGCATGACGCACCCTCCAAACCCGCACTTTTGGCAGTTACGGCGCTCTGTCACCTTAGAGATGGAATGCTAGCTTGTAGTACGCAGTGTCACCTTCTCTCCGGAGTTGCTTCCCTTGCCTTCGTGTGCTTTCCCGCAGGGCATGTCGGGTGGGGAGGAAACAGCAAGGCCCCGTCTGTCCCGTGGAGGCCGTTAGCTTCCATGTCTGCCTCAAGTCAAATTCTTGAAGTTTAGCCTCTTTGCTTGCTCTTTCCCGGGCGAGCTCCGCATTGCTCGCAAACGATTTTCTCTGCGTTGTGCAACAACGCGCACAAACCAAGTGCAGAAACAGGCAAGTCAGCAAAAATGGTCTGCAAAGAGTCCACCCTGCATGAGCCACTCGGATCTCATCCTTCAGATCCTTTTCACTTCCCGGAGTCTTCTCTCTTAGTCACGAAACAGGGCGCATCAAGCCTCGTCACGAAATCAGAGTATCCGAATGGCTGCAGAACTTCCTTACGAACTTGGAACTGCGAATTCAGGGCAAATTCCTCCGCAACCGGAGTTGTGGGTAAACCTCGAATGGATGGAGTGCAAGGCCACCAATCAAGCTGAGAGCAAACACTTGCGAAAGGTGGCTCAACCATGGATGTGTTTCGAGAAATGCCTGCAAGACGTTGACCTCCGTAGCATGGTCTAAGATTTGTTTGAGTGACGATGGTCATATATGTATACATATATATATATATGATGTATGTATATGCGTGCCTGTCTGCCTGTCTGTCTGTGTCCTGCCTGCCTGTATGTATGTATGTATGTATGTATGCCTGCACTAACATCTGCATTATAAGCTGCGGGGCTTGGATGTCTTCGACCCAAGGTCTGTCCTGCTGCATACGCGCGACGTCTTGCCTGTGCCAAAGCCACGGCAATCGAACCATCTACAGGTTGTACCAAAACCCCACCCAAAAAATCTGTGTACACAGCCGCTGTGGTCATGTATCGAGGATACATGGGCGGTATTTAACAGAAGGCAGTTTGGGGGGCTAGAGGAGGAAAGTCTTCAACCTAATTCCTTGGTTCACTGATCGCATGGGGATTTTGTTTTGTGGCTCCTAGAAGGGCACTACAACAAGGTTACTATAACAAAGTCAGGGTTTGAGGTTCAGGGCTTCAAGGGTTTCGATTGCAGACTTCGCGGTCTGCGGCTGCGGGCTTCATAATTAAGACGGCTCCAGGCTCCAGGGTTTCAGAGATTCATGGTCCAGATTGGTTCAGCATGATTAAGTTCAAGCATGTAACCATCTGAAACTCCATGCGACCAGCCGCTGCTACAATTCCCGGGCCACGTGCCTGAATACGTTGGCTCCCTCATATATTCATACACAGGGTATGCGAAGCTATTCCGATAATGTTATTCGATTTCCGCCGGGGCAGTTGCACGAGCTTGGTATATCCCCAAACTTGCAGCACTTTCAGAAGATTGTTACAGTATAGAGCTTTCCCGCGAAGCCGGCTGACCGACATGCAGGGTTGGCTGCCCGAGATGCAAACGCGTTGCCCGAGATGAAAGCCCTTGTTGCTTTGATGCGTTCGGCCCGACATGCAACAAAAAGTACCTCGGACAGCCGCCCTGCATGTCGCGCTTTTGCTGTTTTACTATTTAACTCTACGCACAGTACTGCCGTGGCCTATGCTTGAGGTTGGCAGCCCGAGATATCAGAAATCATCTCGGGCAGCCACCCCTGCATGTCGACCTTTCACTGTTCTGCTACCGTCCGTGGTAGTTCACTTCACATACCGCGCTGCCGTGGCAGATGTTTGGTGTTGGCGGGACGAGTGATAGATAAAAACGTTTTGGCATCTCGGGCAGCCACCTCTACAGGCCCTACATGTCGAGCTTATTCTTTTCACAAGTTCTACTATTGTAACCCTAAACCCTAAACCCAAAACCCTAAACTGCCGTGGCCGGTGTTTAGGGTTGGCGTCCGCTCGCCTTTTGGCATGTCGGCCGAACGCACGCCCTACGACAGTCACATGGACACAGAATAGCATTTCTCATGTCGCGGGTTCACAAGTCTTCTATACTGAACTTAGAACCCTAGCAAAATTCATAATTTTAGCTGTTTCTTAAGGATTAGAATAACCAAAAACTAAAAATATTTCTAAGTACCCCTAAGCCCTACGGATTTGGAGATTTCGGACTTAGGATCTATAACAAGTACCCCAAAGTCTTGCCAAGTCACTTGAGTTCTGTGTGCTCGGCTTCCACCCCGGCTAGCCTCAACGTTAAAGGCGGGTCTGCAGCTCGGTTTAGGGTTTAGGGGTTTAGGGTTTAGGGTTTAGGGCTTTAGAGGAGTACTACAGCGGAAGCCAGAAAGTTGGAATATCATTATCGTAACCCCTTTAAGGTAAATTATAGGGGATCCTACCATGAAACCATATTCCAACTTTCTGGAGTTCCCTTTAGAGGAGGAGGATTTCAGCGGACCGTTATCGCATTTTCTTTGCTTAGGAACCCCGAAGGAATAATAACGGCAGTTCTTCCGAGATTAAAGATCCCTTATAGAACCCTGCTTGGAGGGTCGGGGGACTTAGTAAGTAGGTAGTAAGTAGACTTATAAGTACCCTAAAAGGGACCCTAATTGGGGTTATGGTACTTATAAGTCCCTAAAATTACCAGTTACTAAGTCCCCCGACCCTCCAAGTGATAGTAGCCCTTAGAGTACCGTTACAGGACCTCTGTCCAGAACTGAAGGGCTGAATACACTACACCAAAAAAGTGTAACCTTTTCAAGTATGGTAGGATTAGATACACCCCTAAAGGTTAAAGGTTACGTACTCAACTACTAAGATAATAGACCCCATTATAGTACCCTATAGTATGACATATAGAACTCTGATAGCGACCTTTGTTGAACCCTTCAAGGACCGCTACAGGCCTCTAGTACATAGTTAACTAGGTCCCCAGTTTTGACAGCTCAGGAGCTGAGATTTGGCATCGGCGACGACAGCCTGCAGGCGTCGGGTGCCCACGTCTAGGGCTTCAAGAATTTAGGGTCTACTTAAAGGATCATGGGACTTAGTAACTAGAGTTATAATTGTAGGGTAACTATACTGATAACCCCAATTAAGGTACGTATAACCTTACTTACTAAGTCCCATGATCCTCCAAGAAGGGTTAGGCTTCAGAGTTAGGCCTAAGTGACTTAGTCTACTAGGGTTTAGGATTTAGCAGTTTCTTTTTTGTTGTTTGATAGCTCCTTTGGCAGTTAGGGCTTCGGCTTCAGGCTTAATTAGTGGTGTAGGGTATGAGGATGTAATCCCGGTGAAGAGCGAAGACGAAACCTGTCCAAGAAGGTTTGATGTACATCAAGCAAACACCCACGGCGGCAAAGGGGTAGATATGTTAATTTACATCAATAACCGAAGGCGTGCACCCTATGCACACCTACCTCTGAGAATCCAAAGTGGGCTTAGAGTTTAGTGCTTATTGTTTACGGGTACGGGGTACAGGGAAATGAAGTTGAAGGCTTGATGGTTCCTAAACCACCAACAGCTGCTTCACCGCGGTGCTGTCGTAGGGTCTGGGGTTCTGGAAACCCAAACCCTTGAAAAGGTTGACTAAAAAAGTATGCATGCCATGGGTTGTAGAGTTTTGCCTTTTACGGCTCGGAGTCTTAGGCTATGGCGTTGTTTACCACAAATTCTGTGCAATGTCATTCGAATTCCGAAACCCAAACTTCCTAGACGTACCCAAAAAACATACACCGGATTATTCCAGACGTTACACATTCAGCCGAACCTAGCAAAACACGCTTCTTTTCGAAGCCCTACTGTACTCAGCCTTCCACAACCGCCAAACCAATCTGCAAAGTAATGTAAAGCTCGTAAAAGGTCTTACTTACTGTGGCACCTCGTGCTTGGACTCCGTCGCACGGAGTTCACTGCGTGCTTCACGCCGCTCGGCCTGGAGATCTGCTTGCACAGGCAATCTAGTCAACGGATTCAGATTCAGCTGGTTTTAAGGTCTCTGATTTCTGAAGATCCTCTGCGTCTCCTGTAAGTATTCCAGAAGGTTTGACACAGCACCCCGTAGATCGCCCTCGCCCTAAACTCGAAAAACTGACATTCCATAAGCCACAACCCTAAACCCCTTGCCCTAGACCCTAAACCTTATACAGCCCTTAACCTTAAAGCTTAAACTCTGAAACCTAAACCCTAATAGACCCTAAACCTTAAACCCTAAACGGCCCTAAACCTTAAAGCTTAAACTCTGACATCTAAACCCGAATAAACACGAAACCTTAAATGCGGCGGACCTCGAGACTCATGACTTTCGTGGCCAGGTCTTCGATCCTTGCAGCAAAGAAGTGAAGGAATCGGACGCTTTTGTCGCTAGGTCTAAACCCTAAACACGTAAGCCCTCATGCTCCGGGTACGGCTTGCGAAGTGTAGTTTGAAGTTAGTGCTTGACTTCGGGATGAGATCAGAGGCTCCAAAATAGGGCCTTGACAATTAAAATGGGGTTAGGGTTTAGGGTTTATCAGAATAGGGCTTAGGGTTCAGGGTTTATTATAGTATAAGTATATAGGGACATGTAGGGACTATAAGAGCATGTTCTTACCTATAGGACCTATCCTGGTTCGACCGGTGATTTACGTTTCAGGCGGGAGGCTGTCTGCGTCGCTCGTGAACCATGCGCTCATCGACGACGGCCTTTGTCACCCGATTGCTTATTCTGAACCCCTATTCTGATGAACCCTAAACCCCAAAACCACCATTTGAATCCCAGAGCCCTGAACCCCAGTTCTCATAAACCCTAAAGCCTAAACCGCCACTTTAGTCCCAAAGCCCTGAACCCCCTACTCTCATAAACCCTATAAAGCCTAAACCAACATTTTAGTCCCAGAACCCTGAACCCCTATTCTCATGAAGCCTAAACCCTAAACTACCGTTTCAATCCCAGAACCCTGAACCCCTACTCTCATAAACCCTATAAAGCCTAAACCAACATTTTAGTCCCAGAACCCTGAACCCCTATTCTCATGAAGCCTAAACCCTAAACTACCGTTTCAATCCCAGAACCCTGAACCCCCTACTCTCATAAACCCTATAAAGCCTAAACCAACATTTTAGTCCCAGAACCCTGAACCCCTATTCTCATGAAGCCTAAACCCTAAACTACCGTTTCAATCCCAGAACCCTGAACCCCCTACTCTCATAAACCCTATAAAGCCTAAACCAACATTTTAGTCCCAGAACCCTGAACCCCTATTCTCATGAAGCCTAAACCCTAAACTACCGTTTCAATCCCAGAACCCTGAACCCCCTGCTCTCATAAACCCTATAAAGCCAAAACCTCAGGCTTCCGAAATTCCGGGCACTCAGGGCATTAAAGAGCCTGAGGATTGCCTTAACTAGCTAAGGGGAAACCGAGGCCGGCTGGCCAAGGCCCCCTCCTGAAAATGCTTCCTGAGGGCCTCTCTCTGCTGAGCAGTCATGCTTGACAGAATCTCCTCAGGGGCCTTCTTGGATCTGGCCCACGACATAGACCAGTTTCGTCGTGCAGTTGGGGCAGCTCGCATGTCCATCTACGGGGCATCCTACGGCCCTACGGTACTTCAGTTGCCGGAGTTTATGGTACGATCTTCGCGAAGTACACGAAGCATCTGGTCTTGGACGGTGTCGTGAATCCCTTCCCAGATGTTGAGGAAAGAGGAGTACTGTTCGCCAAGAGCATCACGGCTACGTGGAACGGCATGACAAGGGCCTGTGACCTGTCTGTAATTGACGGCAGCGCAGAGGAAGAGCACTGCCCTGCTGCGCCGATGTCAGAATCGAAGGCTCTATACCTGATCCAAGACTCGAGCAACCCAACTAGAGCTGCTTTCATAATGCAGCTTCTGCTATGGCTTTTCGCCTCTGAAGAGGGTCTGGGACATCCGCACATGATCGCCAGTGTGGTCTTCGCCTGTGAACCCCTATTCTCATGAAGCCTAAACCCTAAACTACCGTTTCAATCCCAGAACCCTGAACCCCCTACTCTCATAAACCCTATAAACCCTAAACCAACATTTTAGTCCCAGAACCCTGAACCCCTATTCTCATGAAGCCTAAACCCTAAACTACCGTTTCAATCCCAGAACCCTGAACCCCCTACTCTCATAAACCCTATAAAGCCTAAACCACCACTTTAGTCCTAGAGCCCTGAACCCCCATTCTCATGAAGCCTAAACCCTAAACCACCGTTTTTATCCCAAACGCTAAAGCATAAACCACCACTTGAGCCCTGAACCCCTATTCTCATAAACTCTAAACCCTTGACCGCCATTTGAATCCCAGAACCCTGAACCCCTAATCCCATGAAACCTCAACCCTGAACCACCATTTTCACATTCTCAAGAGAGTGGGATCCTCCCTCTACAGGAATGTTACTCAAGAAGATGCTGAACTTTGCAGCAGACTGCCTTGGTGAGTTTGCGGTATATATATGTGTGTTGCCTGAAAAGTGAACTTCACCAACCATGCCGAAGGTGTGAGGTGTGAGCCCAAATCCAAATATACACAGAGTCTAAGCCCTAAGCTCTTGTAAACCCTTATTGACAGGAGCTTGGAAATCGAAAAGCCCCAGAGAGTAGCCCCAACCCCTCTGGAATACTACGGGGCCCAACTGTAAAAGGGCTCAAAAGGTGGGATGAAAGTAGGTGGGATATCCCCAAATAAGATCCAGGGATCCTTCATCCTACCTACCTTCATCCCACCTTTTGAGGCCTCCGAAACTGTAAACCCTACATACGTCCACTGATTCATCCTGCAACCTCGAACCCTAAACCCTCAACCGAAGTACCTCGAACCTCAGCCTGGCCCCTGCAAAAAAACTAAGTAATCCTTAAATGGGAGTTTCCGAAAATAGGGGACCCTAATATAGTACCCCAAATAGTAGGATCCTTATTATAAGGACCCCAAAATAAGGTACCCCCCAATTTTCGGAAACTCCCAAATCTACAGCATCGGGCTTTGGGGTTGGACGTTTGGGGTGGTAACGGCAGAGTTTCGGATCTAGGGTTGAGGGTTTAGGGTTTTAGGGTTTAGGGTTTTAGGGTTTAGGGTTTAGGGTTTTAGGGGTTTAGGGTTTAGGGTTTAGGTTTAGGGTTTAGGGTTTCGGGTTTAGGGTCCATTTGCACGGCACAAGCTGAAAATGCCTGCATCTGTTGCTGCAGGCCTGAGTCAAACGAGGTGTGCGACTTGGAGGGTTCTCGGGTTTTGGGTTTTAGAATACAGGGCTCTCGGTTTACAGGTTTGGGCTACGGCTCTGTTAGCTCTTCCAGCGGAGGATTCTTGATATGGGTGGTTGTCAATATTAGGGTCCCTTTTTGGGTCCTTAAGAAAGTATGGCACCTAATATTCAGGGTACCCAAAAAGGACCCTAATTTTGACGACCACCCATAATATGCCTTCGAATCAAGCGGGTTCAGACAGGTTTGAAAGTGTTGGATTCTCGGCTTCGGTTTTGGGATGTCGGGGAGGCTTTTCTACAAAACCCCATGGTGGCGTCTTATCTAACCTCTACAGATTCTAGCGCCTTAGTTGCTGCCTTCAACATGACGTACTTACTGTTTGAGGTCTATCTTTCGGCCCTACTGTGCCAACCTCCCATGTGACATAGTATGCGTTTGTTCTAGGCTTCTCTCTCGCTCTCTCTCTCTCTCTCTCTCGCTCTCTCTCTCTCTCTCTCTCTCTCTCTCTCTCTCTCTCTCTCTCTCTCTCTGCGCGCTAGTTTTCCACAGCCCGGAACAGACATATGACATCCTTTGATCAAACTTTGATCCCTCCATGAGATAAGATAGATTCCCTCTGAGCACTAAGTCCCGTAACCCTAAGTCTCAAAGCCTGGAGCCACTCGAAACCCAACACCCCAAATCTAAATCGAATATGAAGCTCCCCATACTACGAGCAACACTCTGAACCTGCAACCCCCAAACCCGCAACTCAGAATCCTTGGGCTGGTGAAACTGAAGCTCCGAATCCACAAACCTCAATGGAATCTAGACGTTTGGGTTTCGGAATATGGAACCCTAAACCCTAAACCCTACTTGGAGGATCATGGGACTTAGTAAGTAAGGTTTTAAGTACCTTAATTGGGGTTATAAGTTAGATGGGGCCCCGGCCCACTAATAGTTCAACAATAGGTTTATTATCAAACAGACAGGCCAAAAGTAGCGCAAGGAAATCTGATCTCATTCGGTTTTCCAGGGCCAGGCAGTGTTTTGAATCCAAATATGTTTGGCATAGTTTGGCGATTAGGGCTGTGAGATGGGGTCGGACCGGCGAAGAGGTTGGGAGGAGCTATCTGCAACTTACCAGCGAAGAGGTTTGGAACCACGGTTTCGTTACCATCGCAACCTGGGCCCGGAGACCTTCTTTCAGACGGCCTGGACGCGGGGACTGGACTGGCCCGGCCGCCAGAGAGACAGAGCAAAACTAGCACCAGAAAAGCACAAAAAAAAAGCACAATCGGACCACGTCGAGCACAAGAAAAGCACAACAGACAGAGACAATTTTGCACCAGAACTGCCGCGCACCAATGTGTTTTGAAATCATGGAGCACAAAAAAAAAGCACAAACATACAAACACGTTTGGTTTTTGGAGCACAAGAAAAGCACAAAAAAAAAGCACAATCGGATCGTTTCGAGCACAAGAAAAGCACAACAGCCGGAGCGTTTCGAGCACAAGAAAAGCACAAAAAAAAAGCACAAACATACAAACACGTTTGGTTTTTGGAGCACAAGAAAAGCACAAAAAAAAGCACAATCGGAGCGTTTCGAGCACAAGAAAAGCACAACAGCCGGAGCGTTTCGAGCACAAGAAAAGCACAAAAAAAAAGCACAAACATACAAACACGCTTGGTTTTTGGAGCACAAGAAAAGCACAAAAAAAACACAATCGGAGCGTTTCGAGCACAAGAAAAGCACAACAGCCGGAGCGTTTCGAGCACAAGAAAAGCACAAAAAAAAAGCACAAACATACAAACACGTTTGGTTTTCGGAGCACAAGAAAAGCACAAAAAAAAAACACAATCGGAGCGTTTCGAGCACAAGAAAAGCACAAAAAAACACAAACATGCAAACACGTTTGCGGAAACGAGCCCGGAGGCCTGCCTAGATTGCAGAAAGAGTACAGACAGAGCACAAGAAAAGCACAACAGCCGGAGCGTTTCGAGCACAAGAAAAGCACAAAAAAAGTGCACAAACATACAAACACGTTTGGTTTTTGGAGCACAAGAAAAGCACAAAAAAAAACACAATCGGATCGTTTCGAGCACAAGAAAAGCACAACAGCCGGAGCGTTTCGAGCACAAGAAAAGCACAAAAAAAAAGCACAAACATACAAACACGTTTGGTTTTTGGAGCACAAGAAAAGCACAAAAAAAAAAACACAATCGGAGCGTTTCGAGCACAAGAAAAGCACAACAGCCGGAGCGTTTCGAGCACAAGAAAAGCACACAAAAAAACACAAAAAAAGCACAAACATACAAACACGTTTGGTTTTTGGAGCAGAAGAAAAGCACAAATAAAAAGCACAATCGGAGCGTTTCGAGCACAAGAAAAGCACAACAGCCGGAGCGTTTCGAGCACAAGAAAGGCACAAAAAAAAGCACAAACATACAAACACGTTTGGTTTTTGGAGCACAAGAAAAGCACAAAAACAAAGCACAATCGGATCGTTTCGAGCACAAGAAAAGCACAACAGAAAAGAGGTTTCTGTGATCGAAATGTCGCGCCCGGGTACGCCTCTCAGTACTAAACTTGGTCGAAGAGGCCAGACCCCGGCCCGGCCTCAGCCCGCCCCCCACCCCCCCCGTCCGTTCAGCTTTCCAGCCCAGCCCCCTCAGACCCCCCCAGCACCCCCAGCCCCCCCCGCCCCGCCCCCCCTAGTCACGCAGAGGCATTGCAGCTCCTGATGTTTGCTCAAGATCGAATCCGAGAAAACAACAGGGGTGTGACTGTGTTTGCAACTCATGGGGTGGCAGTTTACTTGTTGTCTCAGTCTTGCGTTTTCCATTCATGCGAGCATGATCACAAACGAGTCAACATTTCAGCATTTCCCTCACAGCTCCACTCCGAGTGCCAGCAATATTTTCTGAGAAGCGGCAGGCGCAGGCACTCCATTCAGAATGCGAAGAAAGGCACCTTAGGACCTCAGTTGATCCGGTGCTGAGAGCCTTAGCCGCGACATCCCAAGGGTGGGACGGGCGGGAAGACTTGAGATGAGACATCACAGATGAACGGCACACTGCGTTTCAATGTGAAACCCGTTCAAGAACATTCATCACAGCTCCACTCCGAGTGCCAGCAATATTTTCTGAGAAGCGGCAGGCGCAGGCACTCCATTCAGAATGCGAAGAAAGGCACCTTAGGACCTCAGTTGATCCGGTGCTGAGAGCCTTAGCCGCGACATCCCAGACATAGAAGCCCCAAAAAGGCCAGCTGGCAAACGGACGAAGTCAGTTGCCGAACCGATTTCTAAAATGGAAGTCGTCAATCGTGTCAGCAGCGACTGCAAGCGCTACTGCAGCTCGGACAGCAAACAGGCGAGGATAGGGCTGAGCAAGTTGTGTCCACAATTGCAAAGACCCAGGGTCTTGCCCCCTAAGAACGATGTGATACTTACCATTGCGGCTGCAAAGCCCGCCTCGACCAGTACACACAAGATTGAGGCTGTGATGTTCCTGCCCATGCCAACACTGTACACGAGTTCGTCTACGCCACCTAGCATTGTGCTGACAAAAATCAGTGAGGAAGGTGCGCGAAGACTGATGTCGGCAGGCCCGCTTGATAGGAGGCAGATCCCAAACCATTGAGCTCGGCGGATTCTCAAGAAAACAAGGAACAGAATGCTTGATAGCGAGCCCAACGATGCTGGCGGTGAATCGAACTGTGGCATTGCCTTTGGCAAGTTTAGCTTTGTTCAAAGAATTCAGATTGCTGTGACCCCAAATGTGACTAGTAGAACGAAAGGGATTACCACCACCCTCACACGGAGCAAGCTTGTTCTGACTCCAAGTACACGAGGGGGTAGCGAGCCAAATGCCTTTGACACAACCGCCTTTGATCCAACCCCGAATCACATCGCAGACCCTACGATCACTAAAGTCAATTCGACGATCAAGGCAGAGGTCAAGGGCAAGAGTGGGGTGCCCGTTGCGCTCAAGGTTGGCAGCGACGTCACCGCGACCACAGAAAAGATCCAAGAAGATACGCCTACCAGAGCTTTTAGCTAAGCGCATCTTTTGACGAAACATACGTCTCAGGAGAGTTGGACCGTCTAGATGCTTTGGCCAACGCGGGCGAGCTTTACCTTCTTGTTGGAGCCGGCGGGTGACTGTGTGGTTCCACAGCTGCTGCCTCCAAATTTTAGGGCCTTCGCCTTCAGAAGGTCGGGCAGCGTTCGAATGATGGCGGCCCCACGGTCTCGAATCGCCTGCGGGATGCGGGCCAACTCGCTCTGCAGTCGTGCCTGTTTGACGTATCGTTTCAGGGAAGAGTCTGCAGCCCAACGTCCGCGTTGTTTCACCTCCAGCAAGCTCCGCCTTCTCGACAGGACATCGTGAGTTGCCCCACAGTGCCGCAGGTTGTAGAGATTCCACCCCATTTCGGTCAGCCCCAATCTGTCGATGGCAGCAGTGAAGAGATTGTGGAGGGAACGATGCGAATCGCTCCAGAGTGGGGAGTCTGGCCTTTTGCCCGCAATCAGCCCGAACAGAAGTGGCCCCATCCAACTGTCGGAGTCCAGCAGGACTGAGGCATCGAAGATGTTGGTTTTGCCCGCGATCTTGTCCTCGCTCGGGTGAAGGAGGATCGCCCAAGAACCGAAGGCATTGCCGGCTAGCGCATGCCTTTGAGGTGGAACCAGCTGCTTCACCAACAGGTTCGAGCACTCGCCCGGCCTCAGGTAGCAAAGAAACTGGATGAAGAGTCGCAGGCACATCTCTGCATAACCCATTTCGAGCAGCACTCCAATGATCGCGCCGAGGGCCTCTGCAGGGATGGGGAGTCGTTGTTGAGGAGGCGCGGCTAGCTGCCAACCTTTCAAGGCCCTGGCGGCGCGGGGCAGTGCCCCGAGAGTGCCTTTCCCCACATGCGGGTGAAAGAACTTGATTGCCGCGACTATGCGGATGCCACTGTCGATCCCTTTCCCCATGTCGAAGAGCTCCTCCAGGTATCCGATGAGGAGATTGTCGAGGAGATGAACGGTCATGATCAGCAGCGGGTCCTCTCCGAGCCAAGCCGCGAACGCCTTCAACCGATTGGTGTAGTCCGTCAGGGTGGAGGGCCTCACACTCCGCGACTCTAGGTATGACAACCTGGGATGGACTTTCGTCCGGGCCTTCACGGACCGCCTTCTTGCAAGCCGCCTTGGCTGATTTTTGCAACTCATCGTCACGGAGGAGCTGCTCTAGCCGAAGATCGTCCCACCAGTGCACGAGCTGAAGTTCCTTCCACTGCTGAAAAGCACGCGACGGAGCGTCAGCTGGATTGATTTCTGAAGGCACCCACCTTACGTGCACCTTCGAGCCGGTAGCGAGACACAAAGCTGCAAGCTTTCGCAATTGCTTGTTGAGATGGGCGGATTTCCTCCGCCCTTTGGTGGCAGTGAGAACAAGGGGGAGGTTATCACTGAAGCAAAGCAGTCTCTTCTGTATGCAACGATTGGCTCGCAACAGATGCTCAACTGACCAAGTGAGGGCACGAGCTTCAGTGTGCAAGATGTTAGCCTCATGCTCCCAGGGTTTTGACCACGCAACGCACCAATGCTTGCGCAGCATGATGTCATGAGGGACTTCCTCAAAGCCAAGGCTCGTAATGAAACTATTGTTCTTGCCAGTGGAGTGTGGTACACAACTGATGAGCTCTTCAGGCTGCCCCGGCTTAGTTCGCTCCTGGAGAGCACGCTCCCGTGCCTGCAGAGCATCTTCAAATTTGAATCGCCACCGCTCGCTGCAAGAACCAATGCTCCGAACTTGCCCGACATCAAGCTGCCTATGACAAACGCCGACGCCCCAGGGAGAAGAGTCACTGGCGACAACATCTGAACTCCACCCCGTATTGATTTTGAAACGAAAGAGCGGGAGTAGAGCAGCGATCCACTGCAGCTCCTTCCGGACACTCTCCCACAGGCGGGAGGCACAAGATAAATTCTGATGTACGAAGGCATACGAAGCACGAAGCAGTGCAAGCCCTTGTCTTCGCCCCATAAGAGCCCAGGTACAATGTCCGAGAATGAGTTGCAATGTCCTCCCAGTGCATACTTGAAGTCTGAGAAGCTCCTCAATCGCGCTCTTGATCTTCAACAACCGGCTAGTCTTGATAGAAACAAAACCAGTTTGACCATCGAAGTGGAGCCCGACGAAGTCACACTGTTGTTGAGCTACCTCGACTTCATGCACTGTGAGACCCCAGCCCCTCAGAATGTCGCAGATTCGTCTGAGGCCTGAGTTCACCGAGTCAGCATTGACGCCAAACACTCCGAAATTGTCTACGTACCCAGCGACGGCGAGATCAGTGTCATGTCGAACTTCAACGGCCCCTCTTTTGTCACCAACTATCTGTGATCCGTCAAACCCAGCATGATCAATAGCATTAAGCAGAACCTGTTGACAAATATGCAGCGCCCAGTTCCAACCCATGGGGAGTACTTTGAGGTACGGCACAATCAGCGTCTTGGTTCCGCACGCATTGCCGTCGACACTGGTAATACCCAGACGTCCAGCCTCGATAGCGGGGAGTGTGAACATCCGGGCGAGGTCGTCAGGAATGGAGAGGGTGTAGAAGGCGTTGGCTAGGTCGCCCGAGGCAATCATAAAGGTTTTGTTCTCTGGCATTTCAAGGCGAGTGAACGCATCAGCTGAAGGAAGGTCGGTAGTCGGCGGGTCGACGAAAAGCTGATTGAGACGTCTAGTGTCAAAAAGCAACCGCAGCTGACCAGACTTCTTTCGAACGAAGAAAATGCCCAATCGACTTTCACACACTTCGGCAAGCTGAAAACCCACCATGTTCCTTTGGATGAGCTCATCAAGAAACCCACAGTACTCAGCAACGTTGTTCTTGAGGACGGGGTCAACATAAGGCGTAACGGGTACATTCTCCTCACGCACTCTGTCTTTGGACTTAAGCATATGCATCTGCCAGCCCCCAGCCATTCACGGTCAGCCTGGGACAAGCACCCCATCACAGGGACGGGCGAGGACTTGACCTCAGGCCAAGAGATATTCTCTCTGGCGTAGGGCTGAACGTCGCTCCGGCCGTTGTTATACAACCGAGAGGACGAGCACAACCCCCGAATACCATCCCCAGTCGCATCAGGAGTTTGATTCGCATCAGCATGGAGGTAGGCATCGGAGATCAAAGAAAGAACTCGGCGCTGAGCTCGAGTGCTCTTTTTACGCATGTGATGTTCCGAATTAACACAACCCGCAAGGTCGTTGAGAGCTTTGATCCCTTCATTGGCATACAAGCGCCAGGACTCACTGGGTCCCGCGCTCTCTTCCCATGGGATCTCGGGCAGGGGGAAGATGTTACGCTGACGCGACGAAGCATCAGCAGCTCCCACCCCAACACCAAAAGACGTCAAAATGGTAAGGATTAAGGTAGACACAAAATTTTGAAAGCCAAGGGTCGCGAATGATCTCCCAATCATTTTGCATCTTTGTCGCCTTTTTTGGCCAACACTCGTTCTTCTCGAGCTTTCCTTCTCTCCTTCGCGACCAAGGCTTCCCTCTGCATCTCCGTCCCGATCCACTCGGTGAGCTTCGGCGAGACGATCGATCCGACTCGGCTTCCAGCATTTGCCCCCATGAAGAGAGCACCTTCCCCCGAGTCCTCCGCCGCTGCAAGTTTCCATTTGTGCCTCTCTTCGATTCTTTGGATAGCACGGACTATGAGCTCTGCGCCTGCCAAGTTCGTCACATCCACTTGGTCGTACGTCATGAAGGTGTGCAGCACTTTGCACCAAGCTTCGTGCTCCATAGCTGGTCCATCCGAGGGTTGAAACTTGCAAGCCACCCTCCAAGCTTGATGATGTTGCAATGCCGAACCTCCGTGATCCAACATCTGAGTGATCACATGCTTGGCTGTCCGCGGACCTCCGATTGGCCAGTCTGGAAACTCCACAACCTTGCTTTCTGACACCGCCATCCGGAACTCCTTGAACCGCAAGCCAGAGTCGTCTCGGGAGATACTCAACGTTCTTGCGTCCTCCGGTTCGACGGCAAAATGCGCTCCGATCCCACCTCCAAGGGCAGCAGCGAGCCCTGCGTGGCCAGCTCCATTGTCGGCAGGGGCAGCTTGCGCCGCGCCGCCTAGTGCTGACTGTCCAGCACCCGGCCCTGCCAGGTTTGCGATCTGACCACCAGGTGGAGCGGCATGAGCGGGTGTACCGGCTGAGAGCCCCAAACGAGCTCGCTCTACCTGAGCGTGTGCTTCTCCCTCCGCGCAAAGACGAGTGATAGCAGCAGCATCTGGCAGGACGCGAAACCGGTGTATCTGGTGACCCAACAAACCATAAGGTACTGGCCCGGACGGATCGTAAGCCCTCCATCCCGAAATGTCTGTGTTCGCATTTCCGAGGTCCTCGATGTACAGATCCGCTTGTGGAGTGAGTATCACCCATGAAGAGCCTGAAACTGGAGCTAGCAGTAAGCGTGCGTGCCATAGATCCTCTGGGACGTTATATTTGACCAGAACAAAGCTCCCCGGTGCTAGGAGACCAAGAGGTTGCGGCCCCAAGGGAGCTGCGCCGGCCATCAACTGTCAAACTCTTCTGAACTGGACCCTTTTGCTCGGCGATAGCAGCTCGAGACCTCCAGCTGAGGAGGATGTATGCTGCCACAGCCAGAACAAACAGGAAGGCCCCGGTGATCGGCCCGATCTCAATGTGTCCAGTGGAGCAATGCACTACGGGGCAGGTAAGGCTGCCACAAGACACCTGGCAGGCCGGACACGTTGACGTTGCCCAGGCAGAAGAGCTGAACCAGGAGAAGACGGCACCCGCACCGAAAGCTGCAGCCAGCTCAATGGCGGAAGCTACCATAATCCCTAAAAGACTTGAGATGAGACTTCACAGATGAACGGCACACTGCGTTTCAATGTGAAACCCGTTCAAGAACATTCATGGTGCTTCATCTTGTGCTTCTGTTTCTGCCCACTATTAGTGAGGCGGGGCCGCACACAAGTTATAAGTATAGTTACCCGAATTATAACCCTAGTTACTAAGTCCCATCATCCTTTAACTAAACTCTATAAATCTCCTCTTATACTAGAACCCCTATAGATCCCCTTTAAAAGAGCCCTTTAAGGAACCCTAGTTACTAAGTCCCATGCTTGGGGTTTGGGTTTTGGGTTTCGGCTTCTGGGGCTACTCCGACATCGCTTTTCCGAGCCCCCGGCGGCTCCCAGCTACAGGCCGGGTGCGCTCGAAACCCATGGCTCTCTTTAAGGGGCTTCTTTTAAGGTCCCTTTTGAAGGGGCTTCTTTAAGGGTTCCATTAAGGGGTTCTCTTTAAGGGCTCCTTTCAGGGCTTCTTTAAGGGTCCCGTTCAGGGCTCCCCTTTAGGTTCCTTTAAGGGCTCACCCAAAGCTCTGCTTTCTGCTTGCTCACTCTGTGGATGTGGAGTTTTGGGGCACAAGTCTGAGAAGCCAAAGCCTACTTCTTGTTTTCTAAGCCTATAAGCCCTAAACTACCCTAAACCGTGGCTCGGGTTTAGGGTTTAGGAGTTAGGGGTTTAGGGTTTTTTCTATAGCAGGGCTACATACAGGGCCTGAAAGGTGGCTTCTATGAGCTGCGGCAGGGCAGAGTTCAGCGCGTGGGCTTCAGGCGTTGATGCCTGCCTCTTAGTATTGAAGGGTCTTTGGTAATTGCGGGGATATCATCTTGCCCTGCACGTCCGAGGTAGATGCGGGGTGTATAGGCCCGAAAACCCGGCACACTAAGCCGTAGCAGCAATGAGGCAGTATGTATCATAACAAGTTGGCAGGCTTGAGCCTTGAAGATGTTTGGCATCCCACGAAGAAGGACTCTTCCCCCTACCCTGAGATACATAGATATTCTGGGTCAAGGAGGGTCCAGGAGTCTTTAAATTTTGGGGTCCAGACATACGGTTCAGGGTAGGGTTTGAAGGAAGGGGAGTAGGGCTGATCTGGTAGAGCCAGGGTACCACACAAGTCTGTAGGGCGTCCTACGGGGGAGGGAAATGCTAATGACTTGAACAGATTTGCGGATTATAACGCAGCGAGGCTGTGGATTGCAGCTTTGCAACTCCATAACGGATGGAGGGCCAAATGTCGATTCAAGCTAGCACTTGAAGGTTCATGCTACTTGGCAAGTAGGCTTTCAGTAGGCTTTGAAGTACCTGAGTGCCTATCCCCCCTTTTCACCTAATGTAGGAACCTGATTCAGGAACCCTGGCCCTATCACCCCCAAATAGTAGGATTCATATTAGGAACCCTAATAAAGGCCCAAGGTCTCTCAATCAGGTTCCTACATAATTATTATAGTACCCTTGTAGATGCCCTATAGTAGTCCTTCTAGACCCCTTTAAAGGAACCCTACATATTTAGAAGGAACTCTTCACCTACGTACCGCAAGGAACCCTTGGATCCCTCACATAAAGTAAAAGGCAAAAGCCAGAAAGTTGGAATATGATTATCCTAACCCTTCTATGGTAAATTATAGGGTCTCCTACCCTGAAACCATATTCCAACTTTCTGGAGTTCCCGGTAAGTAAAACCTGCAAGCTCCCGAAACCCCAAACCGTCCATTTACCAGCCCTGGCACCAAACCCTGTTCAGGGTTTAGAGGCTTAGGGTTTAGGGTTTAGGGTTTAGGATTTAGGGTTTAGGGTTTAGGGTTTAGGATTTAGGGTTTAGGATTTAGGGTTTTAGGGTTTTTGAGACTCACATCATACCTCTCCTGTCCTCAGTTATGCGGCAGCAACTTCGCTCTTGCCTGGTAGTCCCGGACGCGCGAGCCGTTTCCTGGGACTGACAGCTCGCCGCCACTGAAGGCTACTGATGGGCTCTGAGCAATAGGCAATAGGGCTCGTTTGATGCTTTCTTGTGGTCTTGATATAACTAATTATAACAAGACTGGGTTGTGCTTTAAACCCTTACAAAAAATACATGAATAGATTCCCTTTATAAGGAAAGAAGGGCAATTAAAAATTATCCCAAACCACAACCCAGAAGACAGCTTTACCATAGTGATACCGGGAATATAAGGTGATATCTAATAAACAATCAGACCCTTATTTCGGACTCCAGGTGTAATTTATTTTATTAAAGTCTAGCCTCTCTTGTTGAAGTTCTGCAAGGAATCACAGCAGGCCCCATAGATCCCTTTAAGGGAACCCTCATAAAATCCCTTTACGGGAACCCTCATAGAATCCCTTTAAGGGAACCCTTATAGATCCCTTTAAGGGAACCCTCCCAAACCCGAAAGCCGTGACCCAGGAAACCTCAAGAAGGGCCCTGGTCGCCGCAGAAAACTAAAGCACCACCTATAGTCTCCATTGTAGTTCCTTTTTCTGGTTTAACCAGTTTTGTATCAAGGACCCTAAAAGGTAACCCCAAGAAGGAACTACAATGGAGAGTATAGGAATTTCTTAGAAGCTGCCCCCACCCTGTAATAGTGACAAAAAGGGTTATCTTAGGGCCCTATTATGTTCCTATTATAGTCCTATTATACCACTATTACGTGGGGGCCCCTTCTAACCAACACCCCAAAACCTCTGAACCTGCAGATCCCGGAACGCCAGACCTTGAGATCCCTGAACCTTGAGATCCTTAAACGTTGAGAACCCTAAACCTTGAGATCCCTAAACCTTGAGATCCCTAAACCTAGAGATCCCTAAACCCGACTTAAAGCCCAAATTCCTAAGCCTAAACCCACTTAAAGGATCATGGGACTTAGTAATAGTAACTAGGGTTATGTATAACTACGGTAACGATACTGATAACCCCAATTAAGGTACTTATAACCTTACTTACTAAGTCCCATCATCCTCCAAGCAGAGCCGAGTTCAGGCTAAGCTGCGGTACTGCACCAGTATCAACGGATAGTAGCGCGGCCGGCCGAAGTAAAATGCCCCTGACTTGCTGCTTGAAAATCGAGGTTTAGGGTTTAGGGTGAATGACATAGGCTGCAACAAGGATGTTATAAAAACAAGGGGCCTCCAGGCGCAGTTGCAACAGGGTTTGGGGGTATGTTGTAACAGAGTTGCATAGGGGCTGTTGGGGCATACTATTACACATCGCGCGGGGCCCTATATTCGGGTGGAGCAGCACCCCTAAACAGTGGGTTTTTAGGAACCCTGAACCCTATGGTTCCCTTGGTGGCTTCGAGTTTAGGGCCTTCCGACTTCAGGATTTCAGGGCTTACGCTTTAGGGTCAAGGGTTGTTGGGCCGAGGGTGTCGGGCTTTTCCCTAGACCTTAAACCCTAAACCCTAAACCTAAAATCCTAAACCTTAAACCCTAAACCTCTGAACCTTAAACCCTTAACCCTAAATCCTAAACCTTACACCCCAAACCCCTGAACCTCAAACCCTAAACCCCCGTTTAGACTCGTTTTGGGATTCATGCGCCAGGCCAAGGACCGGGACATCTTGCATTGAAGAGGTGTCCGGCGCCGGAGAGGAAGCATACTCGTCGGGAATCATAGGGAACTAAAGGTTAACCGTTTTGGCTATATAGGGATTATAGAGGGAATATACTACCCAAAAAAGGCTAAGGGTCACCTACTCGACTACTGGGGAAGAGAGAGAAGGAGTCGCCATGAGGTCTTTCTGGGGCTTTAGACTTTTGGGATAAGTTAAAAGTTTAGGGTTTAGGGCTTCGGGATGAGGGTTTCGGGTTTTAACATGGAAGGATGGATAAGCAGAGGAATCAAACGTTTAGAGACAGTTTAGAGAGGTGTTTGAGGGGTCAGGAAACTTTATAGGTATGGGTCGCACGATGTTTTGAGTAGGGCAGCCGTCATAAACCGACTTGCAATCTACTTCCCCAGCCCCTTCGGCTTACAAAGAGCTCTCACATCCTAGACCCCAACTTCTCAAACCCGACAAATGCTGTCATACTGTTGATGGACGAAATCCTGCATGACCCTAAGGACTCTAAACTATGGGAACTATGGTATACTCCTTAAAATGGGTAATGCAGGATTTTGTCCATGAACAGTATGTATCCAATTGAGCCGCTTGTAAGCCCCACGAAACCTCTTTGGGCCTCTGGGTGTAGAGCTTAGCAATCCCAACCCCAAATCCTAACTAAATCGGTAGAGGCTGTAACCCCCTGGGGTTCTTCTTAAGTGGGTAGTGTAGGAGCCTGGATAACCAACATTGTCCCTTAGGGTTGCGATTATGGCTAAAGAAGAGTATTATACACCAAACCAATATTCTAATTTGTTAGACTGCAGACCCTAAAATCTGCTTCGAATTTCAAGCTAGAATTCGCTCGAACTAGCCCCAACCAAACACGCCCTAAACCACCTAAAATCTTTCAACCCCGTATGGCCTAGTCTTAAACCACTTCAAAGAGACTATAACAACCGTATGAAGCCTTGCGAAGGCCATTCTAAACATCTTCAGCACCGAACCCCCGAGCCTTTGTGCAAGTCCTGCCAGCTCGACGTGATCTCGGGTGCCTGAACCACCGGATTCGGTAGATGCCTTAATAGTATTCTGAGCCCAATATTCGCTCGAACGAAGGCAGCAGGTTGCTCATATTATCAAGACTTTTGTGTCCTAGCCACTTCTGTGTGCTTCCAACTTCTGGCGATCTGCAAAGAAAGTCCATCCTCGGCCCGAACTTGTCGTCAGCCAAATCAACACCAACAACATTCGAAACCACACCTTTGCCTGTGTTGGTGTGGAAACTGAAATAATCGGCTACTTCGCTTCGTGTGCAATGGGCGCAGTAGGGGCGGTACATCGGGGTGATGTCGGGAAGAAGTATAGCAACAGTCGACTGATGCGGTGGTACGACGGAGATTGGGATCCGAATGCTCTAGGGTGGAGGGTTGGGATTGTGGTTTGGAA